ACTGTGAATGGAGTCAGCCTCCACCACATCACTTCCTAATGCATTCCATTTGCTAACTACTCTGACACTGAAAAAGTTCTTTCTAACGTCTCTGTGGCTCATTTGGGTACTCAGCTTCCACCTGTGTCCCCTTGTTCGCGTCCCACCAGTGTTGAAAAGTTCATCCTTGTTTACCCGGTCGATTCCCCTGAGGATTTTGTAGGTTGTGATCATGTCCCCCCTTACTCTTCTGTCTTCCAGTGTCGTGAGGTGCATTTCCCGCAGCCTTTCCTCATAACTCATGCCTCTTAGTTCTGGGACTAGTCTAGTAGCATACCTTTGGACTTTTTCCAGCTTCGTCTTGTGCTTGACAAGGTACGGGCTCCATGCTGGGGCCGCATACTCCAGGATTGGTCTTACATATGTGGTGTACAAGATTCTGAATGATTCCTTACACAGGTTCCTGAACGCCGTTCTGATGTTAGCCAGCCTCGCATATGCCGCAGACGTTATTCTCTTTATGTGGGCTTCAGGAGACAGGTTTGGTGTGATATCAACTCCTAGATCTTTCTCTCTGTCTGTTTCATTAAGTACTTCATCTCCTATTCTGTATCCTGTGCCTGGCCTCCTGTTTCCACTGCCTAGTTTCATTACTTTGCATTTACTCGGGTTGAACTTCAACAGCCATTTGTTGGACCATTCACTCAGTCTATCCAGGTCATCTTGTAGCCTCCTACTATCATCCTCTGTTTCAATCCTCCTCATAATTTTTGCATCGTCGGCAAACATTGAGAGGAACGAGTCTATACCCTCTGGGAGATCATTTACATATACCAGAAACAGTATAGGTCCAAGGACTGACCCCTGCGGGACTCCACTTGTGACGTCTCGCCAATCTGAGACCTCACCCCTCACACAGACTCGTTGTCTCCTGTTGCTTAGGTATTCCTCTATCCACCGGAGTACCTTCCCTCTCACTCCAGCCTGCATCTCCAACTTTCGCACTAGCCTCTTGTGTGGCACTGTATCAAAGGCTTTCTGACAATCCAAAAATATGCAGTCTGCCCACCCTTCTCTTTCTTGCCTTATTTTTGTTGCCTGGTCGTAGAATTCAAGTAACCCTGTGAGGCAGGACCTGCCATCCCTGAACCCATGTTGATGCTGTGTTACATGTGATGTTGTGTGTGTGTGTGTGTGTGTGTGTGTGTGTGTGTGTGTGTGTGTGTGTCAGAACCATGGAAGTGTAGGAGTATCCCGACGGTTGAGGGGCAGTTAGTGCCATACATGACCACCCCTGAAGTGGACACACGGCCACGAGTCCTCAAACATTTACGTGTCCACTTACGAAACCTGTACGTCTTTCCTAGATCATGGCGGCTTAGTCTGTGTGTATGAAACCGTTCACAAGCGTCGAAACTTGGCAGCCTAATGATGTTATTTCTATAGACAATCTCCTTGAGCATTGGAGCTCATAAACTGTTTAGTAAATCCAAACAAAGTTGCCATTATTGACGAAAGATGTATAGGTTTCGTTGGTGGACGCTTAAGTGCTTGGTGTATCTTGGTTCAGCGGTTTCTTGTTTGTTTCGTGTTTGCTTCTCTTTGTTTATATTATTTTATTAAAATTGCTTCTGTTCACTCTATATTGATCGACAAAAGCGTTGGCCCCTCTCTTCAGTCAAGATTGAATTGACATTGGTAATGGCTCCATCAACGTCTGAGCACTCATCACTGGTTCTCCAGCCCGTCCTCAAACGCCAAAGTTCATTCCATGCACCCGCTAAACCCCCTGTTTATAAATGAAAAACTGTTTACACACGACTCACAACTGTTGATGTCTCAACACTTCCGGAACATGTGCTTCGCTGACGACTTTTGTTCGAACCACAACGCTGTAAATGCTTCACCCACGTACTACAAATACAAATAATCGCCAACAGAACCTAAACACCTAACCTAACCAATGCCTAAATATGCACAGTATGCTAATATATAATAACATTAATTTATATTTGAGAAAATTCCTATTTTGAATGAATAGCATGTTAAAAATTGACGAATGTCTTTGGGGGTCGACCGCTGGATGGAATGGACTTAGTCTGAGGACGGGTTGGGTTCCCAGTTGACATCACCAACGAGAGGACAAATCTCACCATTCTCCCATGTTATGGTGCACTTTTCCTGGGTGAAAGTAGTGCCTCTGGGTTTGTCTACAGGAAGAACTGGGCAGTTATTAAATACATCAAACAATACAGTATCACGTGTTGATATATCATACAACACTGGTCCAGACAGTCACTTGCACCTGGTGATCAAGCGGTGACAGCTCAATTATCTCTCTCTCTCTCTCTCTCTCTCTCTCTCTCTCTCTCTCTCTCTCTCTCTCTCTCTCTCTCTCTCTCTCTCTCTCTCTCTCTCTCTCTCTCAGTATAAATTGTACAATTACTGGGGAAAAGGTGTACAATTATTGCTTAAACATGCACTATTATCATGTAAAACATGCACCATTATCGTGTAAAGCATGCACCATTATCGTGTAAAACATGCACCATTATCGTGTAAAACATGCACCATTATCGTGTAAAACATGCACCATTATCGTGTAAAACATGCACTATTATCATGTAAAACATGCACCATTATCATGTAAAACATGCACTATTATCATGTAAAACATGCACCATTATCGTGTAAAACATGCACCATTATCGTGTAAAACATGCACCATTATCGTGTAAAACATGCACCATTATCGTGTAAAACATGCACCATTATCGTGTAAAACATGCACCATTATCGTGTAAAACATGCACCATTATCGTGTAAAACATGCACTATTATCATGTAAAACATGCACCATTATCGTGTAAAACATGCACCATTATCGTGTAAAACATGCACTATTATCGTGTAAAACATGCACCATTATCGTGTAAAACATGCACCATTATCGTGTAAAACATGCACCATTATCGTGTAAAACATGCACCATTATCGTGTAAAACATGAACTATTATCATGTAAAACATGCACCATTATCGTGTAAAACATGCACCATTATCGTGTAAAACATGCACTATTATCGTGTAAAACATGCACCATTATCGTGTAAAACATGCACTATTATCGTGTAAAACATGCACCATTATCGTGTAAAACATGCACCATTATCGTGTAAAACATGAACTATTATCATGTAAAACATGCACCATTATCGTGTAAAACATGCACCATTATCGTGTAAAACATGCACCATTATCGTGTAAAACATGAACTATTATCATGTAAAACATGCACCATTATCGTGTAAAACATGCACCATTATCGTGTAAAACATGCACTATTATCGTGTAAAACATGCACCATTATCGTGTAAAACATGCACCATTATCGTGTAAAACATGCACCATTATCGTGTAAAACATGCACCATTATCGTGTAAAACATGCACCATTATCGTGTAAAACATGAACTATTATTGTGCAAAACATGCACCATTATCGTGTAAAACAAGCACTATTATCGTGTAAAACAAGCACTATTATCGTGTAAAATATACACCATTATCGTGTGTTACATGCACAGTTATCGTGTAAAATATACACCATTATCGTGTGTTACATGCACAGTTATCGTACAAAAGGTATACACATTTAACTTGTATGGTCCAGTGGGCAGTTGTTGTCCTTTCAGTGGTGCGGGAGAGAAGCTTCTGAATTAGGGAAATTGGTAGATGAGGCGGCATGTGTCAGGTGGAGCTCGCTACCACTCTTCCTTGCTGTGGTTACCACTGATGAATGTGATTATCGTGCCAGTATTCTTGGCTGCTTTTAGCTTTGCCCACGATCACTGGATTTAAGGCAAGATCATCTTTCAAGTTGACCCTCGTTCCTTGGAGTTTGCATTTCGCGCTCTCTCTGACAATGGTTATAATATGATGGTCCGGTTCGTGCTGCTTGCCGGCCTCCCACCACGATGGACCTTTGGTTTTGGTCACCTGGAGTGTTCTGTGAGGAGGTGCTCTACCTTCAACAGTGTTTATTCCGGGTTCTCAGCTCAAGCCTCCGTGCAGTCAGTCCCCATGGTGTGTTGCCGGGTGAAGTAGTGTAGATGATTAGCAGTCTGCTCAAGGGCACTTGCTCTGCCCCCAAGTTCGGTGGTGGTGGTTTGATCGTCCCTTGGATACGTCGTTAAGGATTCGACAGCCTGTTTAAGAGTCGAGACGTTCCTCCGTAACTTGATAATGGTCGAGATGGATTCATTGAAGGTTTTACTAATTTCCTTCATCAGTGCGGATTACAACATGGCGTTGTAAGTCGCGTTGATCGTCCAAGATCACTTTAAATAATTTTTTTGGTTCATAATGCTTCAGGTGGTTAAGGGTGTGTGTGTGCGTGCAGGCCGTGAGGGTGAGACGTGAGAGTTATAAGTGACATGACCACAATATTCAAGATAATCGGAGACAGATATTGTAACATACTGAATAGAGTGCAGTGGAGAGAGTGGTAGGCACAAGGATAAGCACAGTGAACAGGTACGATGAGCTAGAGGAGTTTATAAAGACAAAACCTTTTCCCAGCATTAGTCATGTGACCAGATTCGAGGTGAGACCCAGGAGCTGGAGCCCTTGCAACCTTACAGGTGAGGACACAGAGGTATACATAACCATGTTGTGTTTGGTAGCCCATGTTGGTGTGATATTCGTGCTTGTGTTGGATAATCATTCACTGTTCAGTAATAACCCATTATTGTGTAATAGGCGTTTACTTGCTAATATCCAACACTGGCCACGAATTGTCCAGTAATTGCTCAATAATATTCACCAATTGTCCACCATGGGGGGAGGGGTATCGAATAGTGATGAGTAATACCGCACCTGCCAGGAGAGTACGAGGTGATGTGATGCTTTCTCAACCTGGTGACGTCAGGTGGTGCTTGCGTCGTCTACCCTCGCCTCACTTTGGTTCCAGTGTGATGTAATGGGCACACACGTCATGTGTCTTGGTGGTAGTTGGGCTTTCCTGTGTGTGTGTGTGTTTGTGTGTGTCGGGGACGGTTGAACGGAGTGGCGTCAGTGTTGTGCATCCCGGCGTGAGGGCTGCGCGTGCCACTAGCTTCTCCGACAGTGTTCTCCGGCCACGCCAGCTGCGCAAGTTTCCGGGTCACGGAGTGGCATGCCAGTGATCTTGGCAGCACTAGGTTTGATTCGTCGGTGAACAGGATATGGGCGCGGTAAATGATCATGGCTAGCGCAGTCGATGATAGTGAATCTGAAGGGAACTTCGTCAGGTATTTGTTGGCTGTTCAGAAGGGCAGCAGGCGATGTCTAGAGGAGGCGTTTGGCCTGTTGTACCGGGCGTGGGGTCGTGGCAAAAGCTACACCACGCTGGAAGAGTTCTGCGTTGATGCCTTAGGCTGGCAGAGAGAAGATCTGGCCAACTTCTATGAGGCTCAGGACATGCTCGGCAGCTCCCCAAATGTGAGGCCACCGTCTCTCAATCCGTACCGGGATCATTCTGAACCATCCGCGCTATGCAGCGCTGGACCCGGTGTCCTCCAAGCTTCGAGACCCCCTCTCGAGGACGTAAAATCGCCTGTGTTCGGTAGCTCTGGTCACCTAATTAGGCACACTACGAGAAGTGTCCGACAGAGGCGGTCGCTATCGAAGCGTGGGGCTGGGCTAGAGGTCCCCAGGAACGGCGGACCAGGCTTGTGTGGGTCACCACAGCGGGTCCACCACCTCTCACCTCTGGTGGTCCAGGCCTCCACAGCATCTGGAAGCACTCATTTGCCTTTAGACGCGCGCTCCCCATCGCCAATAACAGGTAACGACTGTGTTGCACCATTAAAACACGGGGTCAAATATGTCGCGCCATCAACCCACACGGTTGATTTTGTTGCGCCAACGGAACAGAAAGCTCATTATGTTACACCATCAAAACAAAAGGAGGATCCTCTTGCGCCATTGAAACGAGAGGTTGGTTCGGTTTCACCATCAAAACAAGAAGCTGGTCCGGATGTAGCATCAAACCAAGACATCAACCCTGTTGGACTCTCGAAACAAGGGGCTGACACTGCAGCACCATCGAAACAAGGGACTGACACTGCAGCACCATCGAAACAAGGGACTGACACTGCAGCACCATTGAAACAAGGGGCTGACACTGCAGCACCATTGAAACAAGAGGCTGACACTGCAGCACCACCGAAACAAGGGACTGACACAGCAGCACCATTGAAACAAGAGGCTGACACTGCAGCACCATTGAAACATGAGGCTGACACTGCAGCACCATCGAAACAAAAGGCTGACACTGCAGCACCATCGAAACAAGGGGCTGACACTGCAGCACCATTGAAACAAGAGGCTGACACTGCAACACCACCAAAACAAGGGGCTGACACTGCAGCACCATTGAAACAAGAGGCTGACACTGCAGCACCATTGAAACAAGAGGCTGACACTGCTGCACCATCGAAACAAGGGGCTGACACTGCAGCACCATTGAAACAAGAGGCTGACACTGCTGCACCATCGAAACAAGGGGCTGACACTGCAGCACCATCGCAACAAGAGGTTGACACTGCAGCACCATTGAAACAAGGGACTGACACTGCAGCACCATCGAAACAAGGGACTGACACAGCAGCACCATCGAAACAAGGGACTGACACTGCAGCACCATCGAAACAAGGGACTGACACAGCAGCACCATTGAAACAAGGGACTGACACTGCAGCACCATCGAAACAAGGGACTGACACAGCAGCACCATTGAAACAAGGGACTGACACTGTAGCACCATCGAAACAAGGGACTGACACTGCAGCACCATCGAAACAAGGGACTGACACAGCAGCACCATTGAAACAAGGGACTGACACAGCAGCACCATTGAAACAAGGGACTGACACTGCAGCACCATCGAAACAAGAGGCCGGTTGTGTTGCAGCATCAAAACAAAAGGATGGCCACGTATCTTCAAAACAAAATGCCGATCCTGATGCACCATCGAAAAAAAATATCGGACCAATTTCACTTTCAAAACAAAAGGGTGAGTGTGCTGCGTTATCAAAACAAACTAGTGGTAGTGTTTCATCAAAAAAGGATGACCCTGTTGCCCCATTAAAGCAAAAGATATACAGTGTTGCACCATCAAAACAAAAGAATAAAGGAGTCGCAGTGTCTAAACACAAGAGTGGCCATGTTGCACCATCAGAACAAAAGAATGACAGTATTTCACAATCAAAACGAAGGAAAAGTGTGTCACTCAAACAGAAAGATGACAGTGTTGCACCATCAAAACCAATTGCTGATCCTCTTCTATCGTCAAGACAAAATGTTGTTCATATTGCACCATTAAAACAAAAAGGGGTTCATGTTGCATCATCAAAACAAAAAGTTATTCATGTTGCACCATCAAAACAAAAGGGTAAACGTATTGTAATCTCAAAACAAAAGGACGACAGTGTTCCATCATCAAAACAAAAAGACGACAGTGTTCCACTATCAAAACAAAAGGACGACAGTGTTCCATCATCAAAACAAAAGGACGACAGTGTTCCATCATCAAAACAAAAAGACGACAGTATTCCATCAAAACAAAAGGACGACAGTATTCCATCAAAACAAAAGGACGACAGTGTTCCATCAAAACAAAAGGACGACAGTGTTCCATCAAAACAAAAGGATGACAGTGTTCCATCATCAAAACAAAAGGACGACAGTATTCCACCATCAAAACAAAAGGACGACAGTATTCCATCAAAACAAAAGGACGACAGTGTTCCATCAAAACAAAAGGACGACAGTGTTCCATCAAAACAAAAGGACGACAGTGTTCCACCATCAAAACAAAAGGACGACAGTGTTCCATCATCAAAACAGAAGGACGACAGTGTTCCATCATCAAAACAGAAGGACGACAGTGTTCCACCATCAAAACAAAAGGACGACAGTGTTCCACCATCAAAACAAAAGGGTGACAGTGTTTCACCATCAACACAAAAGGACGACAGTGTTCCACCATCAAAACAAAAGGACGACAGTGTTCCACCATCAAAACAAAAGGACGACAGTGTTCCACCATCAACACAAAGGGACGACAGTGTTCCACTATCAAAACAAAAGGACGACAGTGTTCCACCATCAACACAAAAAGGTAAGAATGTAGCAACATCAAAACTAAATGGTGAACTTGTTGCATCATCAAAACAAATGGATGACAGTGTTGCGTCAAAACAAAAGGGTGAAAATATTGCGACGTTAAATCAACGGGGTGAGAGTGTTGCACCATCAAAACACGGAAGCGACCGTGTTGCATCATCAACACATGGAGGCAAGCGTTTGATAGCATCAAGACAAGTGCAGGTGGAACTTCAGAGCATTATCCGCGAGGCCAGCCGGTCACTGGTGTCCCCCGACGCGCTACATAGTAATAGAACTCCTGAAACTGGTCATGGAAACATACTTGAAATTGATCCCGATCCAAGCCAGCTTCCGCAGAAGGTGCTGGCGTTTTTCCTGAGGGAGGGCTTTCCGGAGCTGCCTGCCAGGGCTCGGTACCTTCTTTGGCGACTCGAGCGTCTTGTTTACGTGGTATGCTACCGGGAGACGGAGTTTGATGATCAGCTTCTTACCCTGAGACTTCGAGATCTCGGTAACGTGATCAGCGAGATGTTATCTATCGTCATTCATTACTGCATACAGGTGACGGAAAGGAGCATCAAAGATGCTACAGATCAGCTGCGTATAGCAAAGCAGAGGCTTAGAAAGGCTCAAAAAGTATTTGAAAAACAAGTCAGTTTCGTAATGAAAACTCGAGAAGAGCTCAAAGATGCCGAAAGAGATCTTCAAGAAGCTAAAGTAAAAAATTGTGAACTCTACAGAGTTTACTCCAGATCACAGAGTTGGGAGCCAGAGGAAAATTCCCAAGCTGCCAGTGCTAACACGAGTGGCAAAGCAATGTCATTTAGCTGTGTGGGAGCCGCAGGCAACTGTTCCATTGCTGACGTCAACGCACAGGGAGATTCTGGGAACGTTTCATTGGCTGATGAAGTAGATGGGAGTGGCTTGGAAACAAAACACCAGGATGGTGTCCTGGTGTCCGGTGACAGTCTATTTGTGAGTGTCATGAAAGAGGTGGCTGTCATCGAAAGAAGACACAGTACTTTATGGGAATTAGACAGGAAACTCAAAAGGATGCTGAGGAACAGTCAGGAGTCGGTCATATTTACGAAGAAAGAAGTGCGCGATAGGCTCGACTCCAATGTTTCTGCCGAGCAAGAAGCCATTGCTAAGGATGACATTGTTAGCGAGAGGTACGCTCTAGCCAGTAAACTCTCGAGGGAGATCAAAAATCTTCGCAAAGATTATAACTCTCTGCAAGAGGATGAAGCTGCCATGATATCTGGTATAACAGATGATATTGAAATGCTGAGGATGATGGAACTGAGCGAGGAGGCTATGAGGGCAGGCGGACGGGACCTCCAAGTGTTGAGAGAGAGCCATCCTGGGAGGCTGCTGATGGAGGCCAGACAACACACTACGGCGTTTGCCTCTAGCGTCAAAATATTTGACGTAGGGGAGTGGCTTATGAGAAAGCGATGTGTGACGATGGATGTGCAAAGTATATACTCACGCCTAAAAATAAATAATACGGAAAACACTGTAGACTTGCTGGATATTCTGGGAACGAGCAGTGAGGACCCGTCCGTAATCATTCTCTCTGGCCCTAAAGGCAGCGGTAAATCATGTGTTTGCCACTATCTGCAACACCTTTGGAAATTAAGCAAATTTCTTGACAAATCTAGACTTCACGAATTTGATTTAGTTGTGTATTGTAGACTGAGTGATTTACCACCGTCAGAATCATGGAGCCAATACCTGAAGGATCATGTGTTTTGTCTTACCCTCAGAGATTTCCCCGACACTGATGTTTTCGAAGCGCTCGGGTCCTTAACTGTTCTCTTCCTGTTGGACGTTGGATCTCTTACATCTTCAAGCAGTAACATCTTAAAAGACGTCATCAGCAATCTAGGAAAAAATCGCGCTATTATAACTGTCCGCCCAGGAAGCGAGAGTGACGTCCTGGAAATCACAAAAGGTTACAGCCATCGATTTCTTAGAGCTAAGCTTTGCCCTATGACCCTCGAAGCCGTCAAAGCTTATTCTACCAGGCTTTTGTCAATGGTCGAAAATGAAGGTGGTTCTGCTGAAGTTAAAGTTAACCAGTTCACAAAATTCATAGAGTCCATGAATAAAACAGAAACTTTAATGTACCCTCTTCATGTGGCTTATCTTCTGTATCTTTGGCGCGTGGCCCCTTTGAAAGCTGTACACGCAAACTGTGTATCTCGCCTTTACAGCCAGGTGGTCATCTTATGCCAACACACCCTGACGGAAGTCTTGAGGGCAGAGAGTAAAGGCGATAGGGCGACAGCAAGGGAGAGAGTCGACCTCATCACTCACCGCCTGTATGAGGCCGCCTGGAGGCTCATCACTCATCACAATTGGCAACATGATGGACACACGCTACTAGAGCCTGAACACAAGCTTATGGACGATCCAGTCGTTTTCACCATCTTTAGCCCTCTCGTTGTGGTGGTGGAAGAACCAGATGGAATACGGCGCGGGATCCTCCCTCATCCTTCAATTGCCGAAATCTTTTGTGGGTTTTTCCTTGCTAACCAAAAGCTTCTGCGCTCTAAAGGCTCACCTTTGCTTCCTCGTCGCGATAAAATTGAAAAATTCTGTATACCTGAATTAAAGAGATTTAGGTATGTGCTCCCACATACAGCTGGAGCTCTAGTCTACAATAAGCACAGTTTGGACGATGCTAAAGAAATAGCTTCTGTATACCTAAGATCTTTGTCAGAAGATAGAGACATGGAATCATGGCTAGAGCTGCTGAGGGAATGTGACTTCATTACACACATGTGTGCGGCAGTGTCGGGAGTGCTGGCCCGTTACAGCTCGTGGACAATTGCCCATCACGACCAACAAACCAACTGTGCTGTTGCTGACTTGCTTAGAAAGGGGGCGTACCAACCCAAGTTTATTATTATTTCACAGCCGTTGAAAAGTGGAAAGGGTGCGTGTATCGGGGACTGTGTCATTCGCGCCCTTTCCACCTGCTCAGCAACGCTAGTTCATATTCGCCAGGAGTCTCAGTTCTACGCCTGGGGAGAAGACGCCACCTGCGACTCTCTGGTAGTTCCCCTGCAGCCGCCCGGCACGCTGCGGGAGTGTTGGGGCCACCTGGGTGTGGAGGGAGCCATGGCTTTGCGTCACAGCCATTACTTAGAGGAACTCAATGTACGGATATCGTCTTCAGAGGCCCTGGCGGCCCTCGTACTCAGCATTGAACATCTAAAACGTAGTCTTCGATACCTCTACATCCGTTTAGATATCCTCCCTTCCACTCCTGCCTCCAGTCTTCAACCACTGAATTTCAGCGGCAAGAAGCTGTGGTTGAGAATGAGAGGCATTAACGACTCGACAGTGGACTGGATAAAAGAGGTGACTGGCATACTGAACAGCTGGTACACGGAGGTGCTCCTGGAGGAGAGTTGTGTGTCTCCATCAGCGCTCCAGTCCCTCAAGGAGAGCCTTCCTAACACTCGCGTCCACATTTCCAGCTAATTATACACTTGGCTGCCAAGTGGTGTCTGTATAATTAGGCAGCTACATTTTTTTTATATTTTTAACCACATTATGCATTGAGCCATTGCAGCTCTCACGAGCCAGATCACAAAGGCTTTGTGATAATTAGAAAAGTGACAGATGAACTGTGTATTTTAACACTGTACAACTTTACATCAAATGTATACCTTTATACTAAAGCATCAGATCTGCTCCCGGGCCATACAGGCATCGCTTATGTTGAACAGCCAAGTTTTCGGGTGTTTTCACACATTGACTGTTCAAGTCCACCATAAGTGCTGAATTAAAATCTTCACCCAAAATTAAGAGCTTTCGAGCCCAACTCACCGTTGAAGCCCATATAAGCTGGTTCACACCATATGGTTTCCAAGAGAAGTGGATTGTTGTTGTTTTTAGATTCAGCTACTTGGAGCAAAAAGTTCCAAACAGCACGGGTTATGGTGAGCCCCTCAATCTCACCTGGCACAGGAGATGTGCCGAGTTGCTGAAGAAAACACACACTTCCGGGAACTTATCATTATATTGATATTTAAAAAGTGCGCACTGCGCTCCTGAAATATAGTGTATACAGCAACACTACTCTTGACAGCTCCATAAGCTTACTACGGCAACAAGAGCACCCAATGTATGTATTAACCTAGTTATGCTCACCTAGTATTACTTGAGGGGATTGAGCTTTGGCTCTTTGGTCCCGCCTCTCAACCGTCAATCAACTGGTGATTGGAAAGTTCCCATCAATCACTCAGAAATGTGATTGTGTGTGTGGGGAGGCGAGTGCGGAGGCAAGTTGGTCATTCATACCATCTGGCTGCACGGTGAAGCAAACTAATCTGTCTCCACACATCCTCTTCAGGTATGCTAATTGCTTGTGTTAGCCATGTTTTGCTCTTTATATTTTATTCAATCTATATATTAGCTTTTACGGCTGTACATCTGTTTCAGTCCAGCCGTAATTGTATTTAGCTACAAAAACATTTTGTAATGTAAATAGCTACAAATGGGCATTTGTAGAGAATAGCGCATCTGAATCTTTAGTACACTTGTAAAATATGTTAATGTGAGAACAGGGTTGGCGCGGAGCTGTAGCCTATTTCTGCCGAGTAAATTCTTCCTCCTAGGCTACGTTACTCCCGCGGTGACTCGCAACCCTTCCTTACCACACCTGAAACACCTTACTCCTAAATTATTGGGACTTAATTCCTATCCTTATGATTAACATACACCATTGGTTATTATAGCTCCCCCCGCCCCCCTCCTTTCCCCTGCCCATTCAACACACCGTTGGTTATCAGCCTCCACCCTCTTCCCACGGTCAACTCGCCCTTGGCTATCCTAGTCCCCCGCCCCGGTAAACTCTTCCCTTGGTCAGTCCCGCCCCCACCTGTGACCACGCGTGAGCCTACTTTGTGCTACTGTGTGTACACGAAACCCTGGGATACTTACACAGTGAGAGGCATCACACACCAAGCTACGTGCCATATTAATATATATGTATACATACGCTGTATAATAACACGCTCAAAAATGTCTCCAAAAGTTAATTTGATGCATAATGCATATACAATAACACACAGTGCATCAAGATACATGAATTACACAATATACTAACATATGGTACACCTGATATATCAACCGAGTGGGCACAATTAACGTTACACTTGGATATTGTGCCCACTGGGTAGATAAAAATCACATTTGCAGATGACACTAAGATTTATGGTAAAGTTGAGAAGTGACAATGACATTGAAGCCCCAACAAAGATACCCACATAACTCCACAAGTGGTCGGAAGACTGGCAAATGCTTTCTAATATCGGAATTTGCAGGTCCTTGCACGTGGGGAATAACAATCCACGTCACAACTACCAAATTAACATTTTCTTGCAGCAGATTGATAAAGACAAGGACCTTGGAGTCAGACTCTACCATTCACTAAAAGTTGCACAAGTGGGAGCAGCATTAAAAAAAAAAACTACCCTAGGAATAGTCAAGCGAACCTTTGACTTCAAAGAAAAGACGGTAATTATTCAACTGTATAAATCTCGGGCGCGACCCCACTATTATATCCAAGTATGGAGACCATCTTCAGAAAGACAGTTGTTTTGGAGGAAGTTCAACACCGGGCAACAAAAATAATTCTAGAACTAAGTCAACTCTCATACCAGGAACTGTTAAGGGCCACAGGGCTTGCAGTACTGCAAACCAGACACAAAGCGGATCTCATCGAAACTTTTAAAATACTAAACAATTTGGAGGATATTGCTTTTAAAAGGTCACATGTAACAGACTAGGAATAAAGGGTTCAAGCTCAACGAACCACAATGTAGGACAGAAAACAGGAAATGTTTTTTTTCATCCACAGGGTTATAAATCCATGGAACACTGTAAGTGCCAAAACTGCCGAATTTCAAAATCCAGCCTTTTAAAATCAGGACGACAAATGGGAGGGGGAGGGGGCCTGACAAGCCGCCGGCTTTCTGTCATCGTCGAGGCCACTAGAGACACAATGGCCTTCAGGTAAATTCAGGTATATAATACAAATATTTGCAAAACGCCAAACTGCATTACAAGACACAATGGTTTATATTAGTAGTGCATCAAGTTAGGTAAGAGTCGAGCCATACCCGGGACATACCGGCATAAGTAACTGGGTATTGGTCTTTAGCATCTGATAACCAACTGACAGGACTTTTGTCAGTTGTTTGCCAATCATTTAAAAGGTGTAAAAACAAACGGGTGTTCTTGCATATAAATTACATTTAGTATGTATTGTGGGTTATGCATAATTAAGTCTCGAAAAGGTTAGATAAGGTGTTTTACTTACGGTGATTTAGAGAAGTGTTTACAGTACTGGCTGGAAGTGAGAGGGGCAAGTTTCTAGTCATTAACTTCGAACAGGAGTCAGGTTGACGAATGCACAAAATACGGACTGTTACTGGCTAGAATAGTCGACATTTTGTACATACACATTGTGACTACTGGTCCTTTATTTTGGTGATGTTTACCATGGGTAAACCATTTCGAGAAATGCGCCTCGAACGTAGGAAGCGAGTGAAACACATTCCGAGAAAACCTCGAACGTAATCAGTTGGGCGTCACGTGTACAGCGCACACATCAGCCCGTCCTCCTAAACTTTCCCAACGTCAAGAAACTGGCGTACTAAAGTGCCAATATCTTAATCAATATCTCTGTAACTTGATTAACCAGATAGGTCCTCTAAGCAGAGGACCTAAAACAGAAAACGGCACTATCAATTTTGCAAGCCGCTTCCACTTTCTAGTACATGTCGGCTAGAATGGATTTTATCCCTTTGTTCTGATGACGTTTTTCTGCCACTAAAAGCTTAATTGATAGTGCTCATAGCAGCCTGCCCTCATCAACAAAGGCCATCAACCAGGACACAGCAACAACATTGTAGCGAGTAGATTATCCCAATAATATACTCGCTCCAAATATAGTGTTAATGTTCCTGTCAAGCTTTGGAGATGAATGAGGTGAGGCGTTGCCCGGGCAACACGGTGAGATGCCCGGGCATATAAGCAGCAATAGCAAACATTAACCGTAGTCTACTTTCAAGTGTGGTCTAGAGCAGACACTTGCGAGATACTGTACCAACGCTCAGTGCGCTCAACTCACACCAACGTATCACCTGTGTACTTCTGTATATTCGACCAAATATATATATAGTATCTTAGTGTCTGTGTTTATTTGTCACCATACTTTACGTAACAATAGAACCGTTACATTGGAATCTGATGACAGAGCAGCTGTCGTGGGCGTAGGACAAGCAGTGCCCTGGCAGCGACGGAGAGTCGGCAGGACAAGCTGTAGATCCAGCATGATGTAATCATTGATGAGGCTGTCAGATGAGTGCGTAACGATCGTGGAGCAGCAAGCCGTAGTAGATGAAACTGCAGAGATGGACGCGATGAAAATCATAGCTGTGGCGAGGGTGTTGGCAGTATTCCATCACAGCAAACAGTAGCACTAGAGGTCCAGTGAGAGTCCATGTTGTAGTCCATCGTGGCTGGGTATCGTCGAAACTTCGTGAAGGTCGAAAATAGCCTCCATCTGCATGAACCAAAATTCTGGCTCATCTGCGTTGTATGCTGGAAACCTGGTAGATAAATCCATGACGAAGATCTAGTTTGTGACTAGGTGTTCTTTTCACTCACTGGGTCACCAATGTAACGGTTCTATTGTTACGTAAAGTATGGTGACAAATAAACACAGACACTAAGATACTATATATATATTTGGTCGAATATACAGAAGTACACAGGTGATACGTTGGTGTGAGTTGAGCGCACTGAGCGTTGGTACAGTATCTCGCAAGTGTCTGCTCTAGACCACACTTGAAAGTAGACTACGGTTAATGTTTGCTATTGCTGCTTATATGCCCGGGCATCTCACCGTGTTGCCCGGGCAACGCCTCACCTCATTCATCTCCAAAGCTTGACAGGAACATTAACACTATATTTGGAGCGAGTATATTATTGGGATAATCTACTCGCTACAACATCAACAACACACAAGGACATACAACAATACATAAGAACTCCATGATAACATATCAATACACACATTAGATCTGATACGTATCACCGAGTTATATAATTTCGTAATATTGATTGACAAATAGATCACAACAGTACATAATGTGGTGCACCAAGCAACATAAAGTGAGGTAGACATAAGTGCAGCAGCAACACAGCCATAGTTGATGACAGGGTCAGCAACTGACCTCTAATGGTACACTGCCGCGAGAACCATATGTTATAGATTATTGCTATATCCGGACCCATTATAGATATTGCTATAATGGTTCCGGATATTGCTATAGTGGCTTCCTGTCCTCGTCGAGGCCATTAGTGTTAGTGGCTCTCAGGTGAACTCAGGATGACATCCAGTAGCCCCGTACTCCTCCTATCTCTCCCCTTAATAAAATGCGCATGCGTCAGCGGTGCGTCCCCACATCTTGGGTGTCACGCTTCCGCTGGCATTAACAGATAATAGTTGCATTTTTAATATGGCGGATATGGTTACGTTTGTTGCTGTTTTTAGATTCAGCTACTGGGAACAAAAAGTTCCAAGTAGCACGGGCTTTAAGCACGTAGTGGACTTACCTGGCACAGGAGCGGGGCTGAAACTGTGGATGGTTAACTCTTATAAGGAATTATATATTTACCTGAGGGCAGGAAGCCGGCGACTTATCAAGTCTCCCCATTTGTCCCGTATATAGCACAGTACGGGTTAAGGGGGAGATGTATTAGCACCAATACCACCCCAAGTACCCTCCAGTCTGGCCCATCTAATTACTGATCAAAGCTACGCACAGCTTCCTAGCATTACGTAAGTAATGAAGAACTGTGATATATTTACTCAATATAATGTTGGTGCTAAATGTAGAACATCAAAAAACATTTTTACTCTGAAATAATCTAATTTGATAACGAAATTAGATGAAACTAAATGTGGCTGGTGACTCCACAGGAAGTCGACGCTCCAAGCGATAATGTTGTGGCTTTGGGTAATTAGATGGACCCAATTTCGTTATAAAATTATATTATTTCGGAGAAAAAATATGTTTTTTCATGTTCTACATTCAACACCAACATTATAGTAAGTAAACAGATCATAGTTCTTCATCACTTACATAATACTTGGAAGCTTTGGGTAATTAGACGGCCCCCCCCCCAGTACCCCCCAAGCACCCCTTAAGCACCATGATAGGTTTCCAGATGGTGTTTCCATGATACGTTATCTCAAATTAGCCTGCCAGCGAGTGTTGCCCTGCCATATTCGTATTGGCGATAGTCACACTCCTGTTATATATTTGATTTTTTTATCACGGGAAATTGATCTGGAGCCACGTGGTCTGTGGTGTAGTGTGGCCGGGTATTGTGACCAGTTCTCGACGGGTATTCATTAAGAATACCCATATTCATTAAGTATAGGTAGTCTATTGTAATTACCGCATATACCCAGTGGGCACAATAGCCAAGTCAACGCAAAATCAGCGACATCAATGTTAATTCAACATTGAACCCCAATGGCCACTCTTGGATATTGTGCCCACTGGGTAGTAGGTGGAAATATCGGGCACGAAAACAAGTTCATAAAATTTGTATTCATTTATTTTAGGAAGCATTTTTTTTTAATTCCTCAATGTTAGACAAGGTGATGAAATCCTGTGACAGCAAAGCGTGGACCGTGATCTGAGAGAATAATCACCAACCTTGGTGACTTCGTCAAGAGTTCTTGCAATCGCTCCATCAACGCCGCCAACCTTTTTTTTTCGTTTCCACTTGATAATTTTTTTTTTAAGTTCAGTTTGCAAATATTTCAGAGGATTGGTTGAATAGAGAGGAAGGATCTTGCTACATTAAAGCCATTTAGGCACACACCTGGGTTCTGTAGTGCATTCTTTTCCTTAAAACAGCCAAGTTAACTTAATTTTGTTTACCTTCTATTTTATTAATTTCAGGTGTTTGCACGTGATGAAGATGGCTCTTCAGTGAACAAAAATGTGGTATTTCGCATCCAACATGGAGCACAGGATAAGTTTGTTATGGAGGCAGACACTGGGGTGATTTCTGTGGCCCAGGGTGCACTACTTGACCCAGACAGGACAGAGCCTAGGGCCACTACCTATATCCTGGAAGTGATTGCTCTGGATGGTGGTATTGGTACCGCCCAGCTCCAAGCAAGGACAGTTGTCAACATCACAATTTTAGATGTGAATAACAAACTGCCCATCTTTAAGGATCCTGGAACAGTCAGGTAATTCAGGGAGTTATTAGATTTCACCAAATGTTGGCTTGTACAATGTTGCCCATGCCAGTTGTCTTGGTTTAATGTATATTTTTACTCATTGCAATAAGGTTCTTTTTTTCACGACGTACTTTCTAAAAGATATTTGTTATTATAAATGATGTAATAATGTTGTTTCAATTAGAGTGTTCGAAAATGAAGATATTGGTTCATATGTGCATCGCGTTGAGGCTGTGGACCTGGATGCTCGCCCTCGCCTCCGTTACTCAATTGATGCCGAGAGTTCTGAAGCCAGAAATGAGGAGGGTGCCATTGTTAAGGTAAATTGTTTATTTGTCAGTACAGTGCCAGTACTTTGGAAAGGTGAGATGGCTTGAACATTATATAAGTTCTATATTGATTATTCTGTTTTCCATCACATATTTGTATCTTTATACCACTAAAAATAATACTCATGAAAGATGAGCCAAAATTATATTATATATATCAGTCCCCATGGTATAGTGGTAAGACACTCTTCTGGCGTTTCACGAGAGCTTTGGCCTGGGTTCGTATCCTGGCCGGGGAGGATTTACTGGGCACCAATCCTTAACTGTAGCCTCTGTTCACTCAACAGTAAAATGGGTACTTGGTTGTTAAATGATTTGGCGGGTCGTATTCCGGGGAATATTAGGATTAAGGACCTGCCCGAAATGCTATGCGTGCTAGTGGCTGTACAAGAATGTAAGAACTTGAACAGTACTGGTATATATAAATAAATAAAATATACTTTCCTAATTCACTTAAAAAATTCAATCCAGAGTTGTGCATGTATTCAAATGTTTGAATGTACTGTATATCTATGTACAGTATCTTAGTGGCTGTTTAGTATTAAACTTTTTTTTTAATTATTCAGTCCACTATTTTGTTTGAAATTTGTCATATTGATTTTATATTGTGCTAATATGAAATCAAAGTTACAGTTTTGTACTGTACTGTACTTTATAAATACAGTGGAACCTTGGTACTTGAACTTAATTAGTTCCTGAAGGTGGGTTGAGTGCAGATTGTTCGAATACTGAACAACTTTTTCCCATAAGGAATAATGTAAATTGGATTAATCCGTTCCAGACCACAAAAATAAATATATTAATGCAATACTGTAATTAAATGAAATAAATACTAATGCAGTGTACACTTTACCTGCACTTTGGAGAGTTGATGGCATATATGGAAGGTGGTGAGGCAGAGAAAGAGATGTTATTCTTTGGCAGGGGAGTCCCCTACCAGTGCACTTTCTCCCCATTTTATACATATTTCTTTTATTAGAGAACTTGATTTAGGCATACAGTACCACACTCGGTATTAAGAGCAGACACGTTGTTACCACATATTTTGCTAAAAGGTTTTTTTCATCTGAATCGTGGTTCTAACTAATTTTTAATTTTCTTCTTGCTAGGCTCTTATTACTAACTTTCACTAACTTTCTTAGGTGCCATCTTGAGGTAATCTTGAGATGATTTCGGGGCTTAGCATCCCCCAGCCTGGTCCTCGACCAGGCCTCCTTTTTGGTACACACCCCCAGGAAGCAACCCGTAGCAGTTGTCTAACTCCCAGGTACCTATTACTGCTAGGTAACAGGAGCATCAGGGTGAAATAAACTTTTTGCCCCTTTGTCTCCTCCTACACCGGGGATCGAACCCGGAACCTCAGGACTACGAATCTGAAGCGCTATCCACTCAGCTGTCAGGCGCGACTTATGGTGCCATGGTGACTTATTTACACTAAGAATATATCAAATGTCTGAGAAAGTTTGGAAAGTCTGGTGGTGTGCACTGAACGATAGCAATGGCAAAACTGATGTGTTGGGACACGTGTTTACGTGTGAGTGCTAAGCAAACGGACAAGTACTGAACATCAACACAGGGTCTAGGTGCCGAAAAGTTAGAGTTGGGAGCTGTTCGAGTACCAAGGTTCTTCTTTACGGTATTGTACCTATAATACTGTAATGTCTAATGGGGGGACCTTTGACAAGCTGCCGGCTTCTTGTCCTCATCAAGCCCACTATATTAGTGGCCCTCAGAAAATTTTTGTTGAAGCATTAGATTTGTTGTAATGTATTGTTTTCATTAAGATTATTCTGTTGTTAAATTTACTGTACAATATATATCTTACAGCCATCAGAGTATGATTTTGCTGGTGCTTTCGAGATTAGTCAAGTGGAAGGTGTTATCCGAACCGCAAATCAATTGGATCGAGAGCAAGTTGAAGTAATAAGACTTGTTGTTGTGTGTGAGGATATAGAAGCTGCAACAGAGAAGCAAACAGCCACAGCCACATTGACCATCATTGTTGAAGACACCAATGACAATGACCCTCATTTCCGTAAATCATTTTACCGAAGAAGCGTTGCGGAAAATGCTAAGAAAGGAACGACAATCGTGACTGTTGTGGCAGATGATGTGGATAAGAATCGTACAATCTCTTATTCTTTGCAAGTAAGTTTTCAACAAATTTCAAAGAGTCTGTAAATGTAAGCTATGGACAGTGATGCATATACAGTATTTATTTATAAATACAGCATGGAAAATACAAATTTTTTATTCTTAAATAAGATGCCACATTATATATTTGTTTATTTTATGAGCAAGAAATTAACAAATAAATGTTTTGTTATACATCGGTACAGGGTATTGTGTTTCGATGTACAGTATTTTAAATATAGAATTTTGTTTAACTCTACATTCCTTTCTTGCCTGCAGGGACCATCTGAGATATTGTCTCTAGTGAAGCTGGATCATGAAACTGGTGAAATTGTTGTGGCTGAACGTGTAGATCGTGAACAGTTCTCGTGGCTGAACTTCACTGTGCAAGCTACTGACTCAGGCGTGCCTCCTCGCTCTAATGTAGCAGATGTTGTAGTTCAGGTGAGATGATGCTACTTCTATGGTTTATCTTATAATTAGTTTGAAGAGAATGGTTTTACAAAACAATAATTATACCATATGATAGAAGATAAATACAGTATCCTGTTAAATAGTAAGTATAGCGTTGAAACAATACTGTATAGTTCAATACTATACTGTATTTATAAAGCATTATATGATTACAAATGTTTTAATACTTTTTGTTGCATTTGGTGTGCAATTTATGACTCTTACTTATTTTAGATAGTGTAGTAACTACTGAAGATGGATGTATGACAATACTTGGGTATTGATGTAAAAAAACAATGTCTACACTGTAATAGACCAGAATGTTAAATTTTGTTGGTAATTAGACTTCTGTCTGAATGTTTTGTATATTTTTGTATTACATTTTTAGTATTTTCTTACCCTATTGTTTTGCAGTGCTTTTCCATCTCTTTTGGGTGAATGCTCTATCACACCATGCAATGAGAAACCTAGTAATGATGATGAAATGGACTTCAGAAATCTGAATTTTTTACATTAATTCAAATAACAGGAGAAAATTTCCAAATGCGGCATATTAATACAGTACTAATTTTTTATAACTTTGGAAAAGCAAAAGTTTTTAGCTTAATTATTCCTTGTTTAAAATTACAAATGCAGTAAAGTTTTTATAAACTCTTATGTTGATCAAATGATTTGTCACCAGATAATTTAGCAGGTGGCCACCACTCCTCTAATGGCAACCTTGAGCTGTTGTAATACCTGTAGTACATAATACCTAATTATACATAATTATTCACAATACTGTACATAATTATTATAAATCAACCCGTCCTCTTTAAAAATAGCGTCACTTTTTGTTCATATGCGCGCTATGGCCAAATTTGGACGTAATTAGAAATGAAATCGACTCACAAAAGTGACGTACTGGCCCATTTTCTGTTTGAGTCGTCTGGCTTACTCGGTAAGGTTAGAACAGGCAACTTTCAATTAATGTTTTTCATAACGTTTTGAAACTTTATGAGAATTTCCTGCCCACCTAACCTATCAGAGGACCCTTAACTTACTGTTGTTGAAAAAAAAAATGCCAAATTTATTTTCTTTTCTTTTTTCATTTTCAAATTACGTCCACTTTCGGCTATACTGTACGGGCAAACGGCCAAAAGCGACGTTATTTTTAAGAGGACAGGTTGTATAAATAGGGAACAAACACTTGATTAACAGAGGTAAGAGTTGAAATACAATAATATTACTGTCTTGTACATACAATTATGTGGTAGATTACATTAATTTTTCAGTGGATACAATAGTACAATAATAAAACATCTGAGTCACTGAGACACCTGCCCGAAATGCTATGCGTGCTAGTGGCTTTACAAGAATGTCAGACTCAAATCTCTGTACTCTCATAAACCCAATATACCTTCTTGTATGTAAATAAATAAATAAATCTGATATATCTCAGGTAATTGATGAGAATGACAACAACCCAGTTTTTGTGAACCCTCCCACCAACTTGACCATCAGAGAAGATGCACCTCCTGGCACTCAGGTAGCCACCGTCACAGCAGTAGATGCAGACTCTGATGATTATGGAATGGTAACTTACCTTCTTGACAGGAAGTCCTCACATGGAAAATTTAAGGTGAGAAATAAAGGTTAATGTATTATTTTGCAATATTATATTTTATGTATAATTGTATTAAAAACTGAGTTTTCAGATGTAACCTACATCCTTTCTCAAGGTATTGTATACAATGTTCTGAACAAGATTGGAGGAGTTTGCATTTACAAATCTGGCAGAGCACCTCACTTGGTGTCCATCAATAGATGTTGTCAGTATGCTCCCCAGGGACGTCGAAGTGTCAGAATAATGCTCAATTATCCTGATTTCTAGGAACTGTGGACAAGGGGTTCCACATAATCATTATCCTTACTTTGGACATCACAGGGTCTGTGCTTATGTGAATTGATGAGATTAGTTAATTGATAACCAACGAGAAGTTGACATAATGACATTGCTAGTTTGGAATAAAGATGATAAACTGATAATCATAAATGCATACAGCCCACAAGCAAGCAACACATGGACAAAGGAGGAGCTAGATGCCAAATGAGAATCTTAATGGTCATGAGAGAATAATCTCTTATTGGTCATGAGAGAGAGTAGAGTAAGAGCAGATAAAGATAAAGCACAAATGTTTGTACTTAGTGACTTCAACTTGAAATCAATAGAATGGTAAACCTATGAAGCAAGAACAGAGGACATTTGGGCTGGCAGATTCATAAACCTCATCCTGGAGACAAACATGTTCCAACATGTTAAACTGGCTATGGGAATGAGTGAAGAGGATGTTCCATCGATGCTGTAATTATATATTCACCAGGAAAGAAGAGATATTTGATATTCAGTACCTTCCTTCCTTGGATAAGAGTAACAATGTCCTTGTGGAAATGAAATGCTATGCATTATAATCTAGAAGAGAATGAGAAAAATAAAGCAGTTAAAAAAACCTGATATCAGGATAGGACATTATGGAGAACTTAGCAAGTTCTCTAATGAATTTGATTGATAAGGTTTGTTGTTAGGCATAGAAGTAAATGAGATGTGTGCCAAGTTTTGTGAGATATATGAAGTCACAAAGTCATCCCAAAACAATGATGCAGAATTAGAGAACAGGATTTGTTCAACAGAAATTGTGAGCTTAACAGAGAACTAAAGATAAACAAATTGAATCAATATAGGGAGAGACCAAACCCTCAAACATGCTAGCAATACAAGGAAGCAAGAAATATCTACATAGCAGTGAGAAGAGAGGCAGAAAGAAATTTTGAGAAAGGGACAGCAGATGAATGTTAAACAGAACCAGGTCTATTCTCTAAATTCATTAAAAGTAACCTGGTGGTAGTTGGTACAGGTACTCAAGCAAGCTAATTGGTAATTAGTCAAGGAATGGTTGAAGGGGAAAGGGGGGGTAAGTTTTTTAATAGACTGCTAGCACTCATCCTGTGCTGGATTGAATGTTCATCAATGATTTATTTCCCAGTATCATTATGACCCTGCAGCAACCATTTTAATAGTAGGTACCTGTACAGCTGGTGCTAGTGTAATGTGTTGTCCTTCCTGATTGTGCATATTCCTTTTAGAGATGCATCGGATTTTACGTTCAGGAGCAGCCAAATGTGATGGCTCAGAAATAAATGAAAAATATAAGTAAGAAAACATCTCAAATGACAGTTATGTATGGAGGTAGAAAAAGTTGAGCAATCTGCCATGTACTAATGTTGTATAAGTAAAGAAAGAATTATGATTGAGAGTTCTTTTTACATTAGCATTCACTTAGGGTAAGTGTATTTGGTAAGTGCATTATATAGTGATTCATAGCAGTTGTGTAGTGATTCAGTTGTATAAATCTGGTGCAGCCCCATTTGGATTATTCTCTCCAGGCATGGAGACCCCAACTTCAAAAGGCCATAGCTGCTCTGAATAAAGTGTAACACCGGGGCAACAAAAATCATTCTAGAGCCAAGTTATCTCTTGTAACAGGAATGGTTGAGGGCCACAGGGCTAACAACACTGCAAACCAGGCATGACAGGTCAGATCTCATTGAAACTTTTAAAATACTGAACAATTTGGTGGATGTTGATCCAGAAAATGTCTTAAAAACATCAAATGTAGCACCAACAAAGAGCAACGGTTTCAAACTAGAGAAACCACAATGAAGGACTGAGAACAGGAGATGCTTTTTCACCCACAGGGCAGTAAACCCCTAAAACCACCTACCTGGTGAAGCCATAAATGCCAAGACTGTTGAATTTCAAAATCCAACTGGAAAAGATAATGAAGGCAAATGGGGGGGGGGGTTAATCGACAACTCGCCGGCTTTCTGTCCTCGTTGAGGCCACTAGTGTTACTGGCCCTCGGGTAAATTCGGGTAAATATATAGTGAGTATTTAAATATAAATTCATTGCATTGTTTTTGCAGATTGACCCTGATACTGGAGATATAACGGTGGCCTCTGCCTTAAACCGTGAGGAGTTGAGTACCTTCATACTTCTTATTGAGGCTTGGGATAACTATCAATTTGGATATTCTACAGGAGAGTCTAGGAATGCCTTCATGCAGATTGGGTAAGTTATTACTTATTAAATAGTTTCAGCATTGCATGGTGAAAATTAATTTACACTGATGCAAAATTATGCAAGATATTCATATTGTGAAAAGAAAGCTCTTTGTGATTAGTGATTTGATTGTCAATATGCTTTTCTGGGAGGGTTTTAAGGTAGCTCCCTCTTGCTAACCATCTGGGATAGCTCCATACATATAAAATTACACGACCATATGTACATAGGTACATGGCCATATAACCCGTATGTATGAGGTCCATACATATGGACCCCACGTGTGTGAAGCCGAAGTTTTAAACAAGAAGGTACATTGGGTTGAGAGTACAGTACATAACATTGGTGTTCTTATATTCTTGCAAAGCCACTAATATGCATAACATTTCTGGCAGGTCCTTAACCCTTAAACTGCACATGGCGTATATATACGCCATGGGTAACATGTCCCATGTAACATGAGATGGGCGCCTGACAGCTGGGTGGACAGGGATTCGGATTTGTAGTCTTGAGGTTCCGGGTTTGATCCCCGGTGGAGAGGGAGACAATCGTGGGCAATATTCTCCGGTCTGAGAGCCACAGTACTGTGGGAGCAACCAATGCTAGCGCATGCAGCATGAGCTAACAGCAGTGCTGTTCAGCTTGTGATCACAGCATCGCCTAAAAATGTCAAAATAAATATGTAACTGCTATTATTTAGTGATGACAGTATTAGAGATGACCCCTGACTGTGATAAAAATGACCAGGATTGTGATAATAGCAGGATTCTTGTGATAATTAGTGCTGTGTGGGAGGAGTAATGCTGAGAGAGGGAGGGAGATTACTGAATGTGTGGCCACCTGTTATTGTTGGCATTCACCATACCAGCTCAGTGGTTCTCTATGGTGAACACAAATGTAGATACTTATATATAATGTGTGTATTAGTGTAATAACAGCAAAAGGATTATATTGGGAGGAGCCATTTGGGTGACGGAGGTGGCGTCATCTGCATGACTTGTCTAGCTGTGTAGAGGGTGGCCACTATGCTCTTTGGGCATCCTACAAGTTTAGGTTACAGTTACGGTGCATACATGTAGATACTTATATATAATGTGTGTATATAGTGTAATAACACCCCAAACAGTATTGTTGGGGGAGAAATTTTAGTGCGCCTGACTTTCAATGAGTGAGGGAGGCAGCCACCAGATGACTGTGTGTGTGTAACGACAGCTCTTAATGACTGAACTAACTATATCAGCTTAGTTGTACAGTTGTGGTGAACAAAACATATATAAGTATCTACTTATATATAATGTGTGTGTAGTTATATAGTGTAATAACTCTAAAACTATTTGTTTATTGTTTTATGAACGTAATAATTGAATCACTAATATGAACACCATACTTCTGAGTATAGGGATGATTCACACATTTTATTATATAAATCTATCACACTACACACTATTGAACAATATTACTGCAAAAAACTAAGGAAAAATCAATGAGACATTGAAATAATTAGATAATAATATCTTTGTGTCAACTTCCACCTGTCAGCTCGGGTGACGCTGACCGCCTCTGACGACCGCTCTTTGCCAGACTTCCTCGGCCTATTGCGCCCAAAATATGTCGCCTACGATTTTATTTTTTTTCCCGTGTTCAGGAAATACAAATTATCATTTTTAGAAGACGAATTAATTTTTTTAGAATTTTTTTTCTTCCGCACAGGGATGTAAATCTCCTCAGGATCCCTTAGCAGCTTAAGGGTTAATAAATTAATACCCAGTGCTAAGCAGAATTAGTAGAATATTACTTGATATATCTGTACAACTCACAACTATTAAGGCTCCAATTTTAGTCAACTTTGAAAATATATACCACCAGTAATGTGTGGAAAATAGTGTAAAGCTGTTTTAAGTTTTGTCATTTTCTTTTTCTTATTCTATTAGCAGCAGACTTGAATATCATGCATTAAATTGATGTAAAATTATCTTTTGCATTATGTTTATTTATCCACTTAATATGCAGATTCATGTTAATAAAATAATTTTTATTTCAGTGTTACAGTGGCGGACATAAATGATGAAGCCCCAGTTTTTGAAGAACGGGAAGGGTGCACAATGATTACAGAGTTCCACGAACCCAGAGATACAGTCACTGTTGTCAGAGCTTCTGATGGAGACGATCCAGCCTCACCCAATGGCCGAATTCTTTTTACTATTGAGGGTGGCAATGAAAAAGGTATGCCATGTAGGAGTGAAATAATGTACAGTATTTTGATTTAAACTATACATGTACTGTAATCCAAAATGACTCGTATGAAAGTATACTGTGCTATATTTGTACAATACCTTTTCAAAGTATAGTAGAGAAAAGTTCTTTATCTATAAATTGGTCTGGTTTTCAGGTTTATTTGATGTTCGTATGATAGAACAAACTGCTGCTCAGATATTTGCTGCCAAACCATTGGTAGGGCAGTATGGCAACTACTCCTTAATGATACAGGCACAAGACAGAGGATTTCCACCAAATTCTGTTACATCACAGATCAATATTTGTGTGTCGGATTTTAATGATCATGCACCTCAGTTTGTGTCACCATCAGTTAATCTAACAATTCACATTCCTGAGGTTAGTCTTCTTGATTTGTGTAATTTTTCTCACATTGTGTATATGTCTAAATATTGTGACATGAGTGTGTAATATTTACAAGTATCTGTTACTCACATGTATTAAAATACAACTACAGGTAATTCTTTAAACTTTAATTTTGGTTTGTAAATTTTTCTCTGCAAGAAAATTTGCTTACAATTGTTTTTCTAACTGAAAATATTATTATAAACAGAATGCCACAGTTGGAAGTTTGGTGATCCAGGTACGAGCCACAGATGAAGATATTGGAATCAACGGAGCTGTGCGTTACAGAATCTTAAAGGATGCTTTGGGTAACTGGCAAACATTCACCATTGATCAGGTTACAGGAGCAATACTTCTTCAAAAGACACTTGATCGGGAAAGACAGAAGATTTATGAGGTTTGTTAAAGTGTTTTAATTGTAGTCATAATAAGATCTTTTCAGTTGTGCATCTTTTATGCTCATTTAAAATATTCATTATCATTATTGTCAATATTGTTCTATTCCTACTTTTTATGGGGTGGGAAGGCATCAGCCTGGAGAATGGTGTAGAATTGTATAGTAAAGATTGATTTAAGATATTTCAAAATGTCACCCATTCATTGGCATTATCACGCACACTACACAGTGTCATGAACCACCAGCACCACCACTCTTAGCAGATCAACTACAGCAGCACCCTGCTGCTTCACTTCCTATTTAGAAACTACTGCCACATTCCCAACTTCCTCCCTACTTCTGTGCTCTTCACACCACCTGCTCTTTCATTTTCTTACTCTCCAAGTTTGCTTTTTTTCTGTTCACGCCTGATGTGAGAGACTGAGGCTGGTAAGAGATAATGTTGCTTGCTGGATGCTATGTTGTGAGACTGCCTGTTGAGGTAGATCAGAGGTGGTGTTGCTTCTGGTTGAACTGTGTTGAGACTGCCCAGATGTTGTGGTCAGACATCCTTATACAGTATTTCCAAAAATCTGATTCAGTTCAAGCAAGGCTGCTCATTAATTGGTTGATGGGAAATTGCTCGATGTTGTTTGCATTATGTGGAATTCCTGGGAAATGTCATTTGTAGTACATGGAATTCTTAGGAAATATTTGTAGTTTATGTGGAATTCCTAGAACGTTTTAAGTAGCTGATACACAATTTCTAATGGAATTCCGGCAAAATGATCTTCAAAAAGGAATACAGAACTGGACAAAATAAGTGTATAGAGCAACAGTGAGAGAATGGTAGTTACTCAGCTAGACTTGCAAGCCCATGGTTGCAAATGCTGTACAGTCCTGTGCAATATCCATTACCCTTATGCCAGGCTGCAGTACCCGTGTTTGGTATCATCAGATTGGTAATGTCACTTGCAGCTCAGATGAAGTACGAATCAAGACTCGTGCACTAATTTCATATCAGTAGTGCAGTGCACATTTGACTTGTACACTTTCTCTACTTCCAGAATAAAAATGCCTCGCTGCATTTAACATAATTTTCTCCACATATTGATCATTTCATCATAACCTAATTTTTCTTTTTGTGCTCATTACAGATTCGTGTGGAAGCATATGACCAAGGGGTTCCCGCACCACTCTCCAGTGATCTTGACCTCACCATTTATGTCAGAAATGTAAACGACTTTGAGCCCCAGTTTTTATTAGATGAGGTTACAGTGAATTTTACAGGTATGAGAAAAAGCAATGTTGTGTATTTACAGGTATTTTGAGTACTTTCCAGCAATATGTTCACTATTTATAATAGTACAGTATACATATTTTGATCTTTCCCTTTGTAAAATTGACAGACCTGCTATTTGTTTTTCAGCCGGTTTTTGCTATTGACTCCTTGGTGCATTATCTGGACTTAAGTTTTCTTAGATTTATATTTTGAAATGTTTATATTTCAGTAGTTTTGTCATAGTTATTGTTAGCTGGATTTAATTTCTCGTAGATCACTATTCTGAAATTTAGTATAGTTATTATGAAGTGCAGTTTTTAGTTCATCTAATGCTTGGTTGTTTTATTTCATTATTTCAACAGAACATAAGGCAGCAGGTGCAGAGAGGGCAAAGCTAGCAGATACAGTAGACTTGGATGATATTGATGAAGACAAAACTGCCCACGTGTGCTATTTTATCGTTGGTGGAGATGAATATGGAACTTTTAGTCTTGATAGTTTTTCGCATGAAATTATGGTAAGTACAATGACATCTTAATGTTGGATTTTTATAAGAATATTAAGAAGGACCTCTGTTAAAGTATTATTGATAGGTAATAAAACATGGAAGAGAAGCCAAAAATATACACGAGGTGCAGTATGAGAGCATTAATGCATATTCTTAGCATGTAGTGTAATCAAGAATTTTGAGTCAGTCTCTCTCTTTTTCTTGTACACAATAAAAATACATTATCATATTATATACTGTACCTATATATTACTACTCTACTAAAAAATACTGTGTTACATTTGTTATTTACCTTTTTGTTGGAGTTATGTCCATCTTGAAGTCTCATGGAGTTGTGAATGCAGTACAGTAAATACGTACTGTAGTACATTATGCCGTTAGCTCTGTGTTGATTAAGTAGTTCTGCTGTATGTTGTGTACTACAATACATTTTATGAAAACTATTGTACACTAAAATTACTGCAACTTTAATTTTAACACTATGTACACACTTAAATTTAACACTTGTTCTAACTGTTCACTCCACACACGATGTTTTTAGATGTTTGCATCAGCTTTGCTGGTGCTCGCTGGTGCTGTGTTGGCTTCAGCTGTTTCTGAGCTGGTGCTGGGTACGGCTGTGCTGGTGCTGGGTACGGCTGTGCTGGTGCTGGGTACGGCTGTGCTGGTGCTGGGTACGGCTGTGCTGGTGCTGGGTACGGCTGTGCTGGTGCTGGGTACGGCTGTGCTGGTGCTGGGTACGACTGTGCTGGTGCTGGGTACGGCTGTGCTGGTTGATTTTCTGCTACTATTTTGTGAAAAATATTGACTCATTTTTGTTTGTTTCCTTCCTTTTGTCATGTCCTTGAGACAAATATCTTTCATCATCCTTAGGTGTTGATAAAAACCTGGTAGCTCTGGATGAATGCAGACTAGGTCTATACACCCTGCGGTAGGCTGGTGTTTAAGCCAGATCCAGTAACATAAATTCCTCTCAAATATTGGATTTGATATATCAAATTAAATATTTTTGGGTTATATATTTTTAGTTTAGTAACATTATTAGGATAATAAGATAAAAATATAAAAAACTTATTTTAGAACTGATTTATTAATTTTATTATTTTGAGGCCGTAGGTCACTGAACTGTGGCGATGAAATCGAACGAAACACGCATGGTGCTGTGTGTACAAGGATTAGACCTGTCCCCTTGCTCTGGTGTTGTTGTTCCAATAACATAAATATTTTCTCAAATTATAATGTCTATTATATTACAGTATATTTTCGGGTTTATTTAGTTTAGTTTAATTCGGATAATAAAAAGCTATTAAAACCCTAGTTTTAGAAATGATTTATTAATCTGAAACTTTCAAAGTCATGGGTCACTGAACTATGATGACACAGATGAAGGCAATCCAAGTGAAGTTTACAGTACAGTATTCCTTTATCTGTCCACCCTCACTCATCTTGCTTCATCATAGAAAATGTCTATAATGAGATTTTACCACATGTAGCTAGCTAATCACACTTCAGCCTTTAAATTAATTTACAAAGATACATGTGCCACAAATCAGTGAACGAAGATCATGGAAACTCAGTCGTTCACTTGTGTGGACCACTCTGGCTGGTGTGTGGTTCATATGCATCACTTGTTGTGTGATCCAACTTGTCTTATGAAGGAATTATTAATTGTAACCTGTGATGGAATGGGAAAGTTCCACCACTGTGAACTCTATCGTACCCTTTCGGTCATATTCAACAATATAGTAGTAGGCATCGTGCAGTCTCGGGAGACTGGAGTACAATCCAGTACATGGATTGGGTATATAGTGGAGTACAACTGGGTACTGTTAGGCATTATATAATAATATTGTGCTGGTGCAACTGGGTACAACTGTGCATTGTTAGGCACTTTGAAAAGGATGTTGTCTTACCTTTGTGCTGAGATCATTGGGGCTGGTCACCAAATCGGCAAGTAAAGACTTGGAAGACATTCAGCATTTTGCTTGGTTTTCGGAGAGTTTTTCGTTCTTGTAGTAGATTGTCAACTCTATTTTCCGATTGGTGTCGGTAAGGGTCGCATTTTTATCAGTACTGTAATGTCTTTCTGGACTCTTTCCTCTGTTTTGCGAGCCATGGAAAAGAAGTCCCTGTAAAATCGTTTAATGGGTAGAGAAATGGAATGGCATTGTGTTGTATAAAGTTGTTTGGTTTACACCTTACTTTCTAAATAGTTGGTAAGGTGTACATATTGAAATGGAATTTTTTTGTTAAAATATTATTAATATCCTTTTCTAACTATTCACTTCAGACACTGAAGGAGCTGGACCGTGAGGTTGAAGATCACTACACATTGCTGATCAAGGCCACAGAAGACTGTCTTACGATACCCGAGCCAGTTGCCTTCTTCGACCCCAGGGATGACACAATTTTAAAAGTACATGTCTTTGTTAATGACATAAATGATAATGCTCCAAAGTTCACTCGTGAAGTGTTCACAGGAGGCATAACCACTGCATCGCACTTCGGCCTCGAGATCATGAGATTAACTGTGAGAATATTTTTAGTTTAATATGTACATATTACTGCTGTTTAGTTTCATGGATGGATGCTTTAGACCTTTGCAATCTATGCTATCTCTTTCAAAAATGTAAATGTTAAGTTTATTTTGTTAAGTATGTTATGGTATAGAATCGGTTTTTGAGTATACTGTATACATCTATATAAATTAGAAAAGCTGTCTGTTAAAGGTTGGAGGCCATGTGCTTGGGGCAAGCTTCATCCAATTTTTAACTGTAATTGCTGTTTGGTACGTTCCAAACATGGTCTGGGTGGGGGCCTCTTGGCTGAGTGGACAGCTCTCTCCGGTCGTAGTCCTAAGGCCCCCGGGATCAATCCCCGGCAGAGGCAGAAACAAATGGGCAGAGTTTTTTCACCATGGTGCCCCTGTTCACTTAGGTGCGTGTAATTACCTAAGTATAGTTACAGGATGAGAGCTAAGCTCGTGGTGTCCTGTCTTCCAAGCACTCTATCATATCTAATGCTTTGAAATTACTGACAGTTTTCGCCTCCACTACCACCTCACCTAACTTGTTCCAACCGTCTATCACTGTTTGCGAAGGTGAATTTCTTATTTCTTCGGCAGCTTTGTTTAGTTAGTATTAATCTTTGGCCTCCTGTTCTTAAAGTTCCAGGTCTTGGGAATTCTTCCCTATCAATTTTATCGATTCCTGTTACTACTTTGTACGTAGTGATCATATCGCCTCTTTTTCTTCTATCTTCTAGGTTTGGCATATTTAATGCCTCTAACCTCTCCTTGTAGCTCTTGTCCTTCAGTTCTGGGAGCCATTTAGTTGCATGTCCTTGCATTTTTTCTAATACTGTATGTTTAACAAAGCATATTCCAGCTTTGGTCTAACAAAAGTCATGAATAATTTATTTAGTATTTTGCCATACATGTATTTAAAAGCAGTTCTAAAGTTAGAAAGTGTTGTTTTCTGCGAGTGGCTCGCTCGTTACTCAGAAGGCTCGTAACTGGAGTCGCTCGTCACTCGAGGTTCCACTGTATATACAGTATATAAATATACACACATACACACACAAAGGGCTCAACCCCCTGCAAAAGACTCAAACCCAGAAGGCACAGATGTTCGTGCACCTGTACACAACTAGTATGCTGACCGCTTGACCACGCTGATCCTTAAAAGAGAACGATATTCAGGAGTTTTAAGGATCAGCGTGGTTAAGCGGTCAGCATACTAGTTGTGTACAGGTGCGCGAACATCTATGCCTCCTGGGTTCGAGTCTCTTGCGGGGGTTGAGCCCTTTGTGTGTTTACCTTTGACTTGTGGTTTAGGCAAGTTTATGTATATATACATATATATACATACAGTACATACATATTTACACATACATAAATACATGCTCACTCGCTCGCATGCGTGCATTAAAGTGCAAGAAAAAAAATACATATTGTGTGTGTGTGTGTGTGTATAAATATATATATATAAAGTGAATTTGATCAAATATATAAAATAAATAAATAAAATGTGTATAAATAATTTTCAGGCAATTGATCCAGATGCTCGGGAAAACAGTCGTTTAAGATACTACATGGATGGTCGTGTGCAAGAGACCCTTTCAGAAAATCTTGATAATGTCCGCAGATCTCCCTTCATTGTTGATCCAGTTTCTGGAATTGTGAAGTTAAATTTTGATCCACAAAAGGGCATGAAAGGATACTTTGATTTTAAGGTATGGAAGAGATCATGTTTTCTTACCTTTGTTTTCTGGTCTGTACGAGACTTCTCCTATTTATAGTCACCCAGACTCATTTATACAGGTATAATCTTTTCTTGAAAGAATCCAGCGATCCCATGTCTTTTGTGTTACCCACTAATTTGTTCCATAAATGGACAACCCTCTTTCCCAGACAGATATTTATGTAGGTCATTTCTGAATTTAAACTTACACAATTTGTATTCACCGTTTTGTGATATATTTTGAGTTAATATATTTAGCACCTTATTAATATCCTCTTTCTTGTACTTTTTCATTCATTTGTATATGTCATCTTACCCTGTACTCAGTCTTTCTAGAGAATGTAATTTCAGCTTTCTTATCTCTTCATATAGAAGGTTCCTAATTCTTGAGGTTAACTTTGTCATCCTGTTCTGTATCAGTTTAAGTGAATTTGATCATTCTGTAGTACTGTATAGAGATAAAAACTGAATTGTGTAATTTCAATCAAATTATTGAAGTTCAATCAAATATAAGCAGTGTACACCCTAATTACTTGGTTAGACTCAAATTTTGAATATTTTGAGAATGTTGTGCAATTTAATTTTTAGTGTATCATTTTTAGTTTATGTATTTTTAGTGTATTTAGTGTATGATACACATGTATCATGACCTTAAGCACAGATAGTAACAAGTTACTGCTAAAGAAGTCATACGAGACCACCAAGGCCAATCCTAACCTTGTGAGAGCCAGGAAGTCAATCTGGCTCTATCTTATAGGTGAGGGGAGCCTGAAGATCAGATTGACCCAAAACCAAGAAAAAATCCACAATGGGTGCTATAAAACTAGTGACTTCTCAAAGTAAAATTCTAACTTTGAAGTAAACAAGGCAAACAGTCGTTGCTACTGGGTAGCTACCCTGTCCATGATGGTCTGGACCAGATGACAGCCCAGGTCTGCTGGGGTCCCAGCCTGCCATGCACCTCACTCACGAGCCTCCAAAATAGAACCCCAGAACCTCCTTGGGAAAGAAAGAAATAAGGTGGGAATTGGGAGCTACCGAGAGCACCACCAGAAAAGAGCATTTCATTGCCTTTAATGCTTGAGTTCTAGGGAGGCTTCTTCAGTGATTTTACAAAGTTTCTCCCGTTGGTGCCTTGGTAGAGGTGGATGGCTTTCCAGAAAAGAAACTAAGGAATACAAGGAATAGGAATTTCAGATAGGGCTGACTTTGGAAGAGAACAGTGAGAGAAGTGCTCAGGGTAAAGAAGCACACACACAGTGCTAAATGTGCAAGGACTGCACAGGCACACCACAGCCAAGCACATCCAAGAACATCCAAAATGGGGTAAAAACCAAATCTCGGATAAACTGCCAAAACCCAGATAGCTATCTTAGCCCAGACAACAACTGTGGACCCAGAATGTGAATAAACACAGCTAAAGGCTCCCATCATGGAATGGCAAAATTCTTGCTGGGAGGCATAACATGACCAGACTCAGGAAACCCAGAACAGCCAGCCGTAAACCCGAGGGTAAGAGATTGCCAAGAGATTGAAGCTGGCAACTGGACAGCAAATTGAACCACATATAGCTTAGATGGACTTGCAAAAAGTACTACAGAAAAAGAAACTGGAAAGGAGCAACCCAAAAAAACACCAGTTCCAAATTGGGATTAGAAATCGCCACATAAGCAGAACACTGGTGTTCTCTTTATGGTAGTATGGCCAACTACCATAAAGAGTCTTTCCTAAGACAGGAGTCCAGACATTAACACCAGCACCAGTGAGAGAGGCATCCAAAAGAGAGCAGACAACACAAGGAGTAGAAGAGCCCTGAACCGGATGGCATGGATGCCCATGGTGCTACATAGCCTTCCCAGCTTGGTGCCTTCTTTGATAATTACTTATTTGCCAGGCCTCAGTTAGAAGTAAGTAAGTAAGTGACCAAATCTCCATAAGGTATGCTAGAAACCCACATTCCAATGAAACAGAGAGACCAGACACCCAGGGCCCACAACCCCAGGAAGTGGTCACCAAACCAGACTGCCCTGAATTTGACACTGCAGAAACATTTGGAAAATTCCCCATAGCATCAATATCTTGGATGTCGCCTAGTTTGACTGCATAATCCAATTCCCGATAGACTGGAATCTTACTTGTAGGGAAACCCAAGAAGAATAGCTTGGAAAATACGATTATCAACACTATCTCTTCCAGTTTCACATTTTAATGATTGATTATTATATCTGATATTAGAACACACTTATATAAATAAGCAGTATAAAATGTATTGAACTACAACAATGATTGGTATCTGTTTTTGTTAGAGTTGTAGTTCTAGCAATAGATTGCATTAGTGGATAGTTACAGTATCAGTTTATAACTGGCTATACCATATCTCAACACTCCTTATTCTCATAGTCTGCTTTCACTGGTTTCAGGTCTATGTTAATGACTCAAGTGGCTGGAGTGATCGAGCTCGCGTGTTCATATACCTTCTGCGGGAAGACCAACGAGTTCGCTTCATTCTTAGGCAATCGCCAGATGAGGCAAGTTAACTTTTCCTTCATTAGTTGTTGAAGTGATAATTCCTATAGATGCACATAGATGTTAGTGCATTATTTTTAGACTAATTAGGAAACCTTCATCAGATACTATCTCCTCATTTACCATTTTTGTAATGTACAATAACTTCCATTGATGAATTATAAACTTGAGAATGATGTAGCAAAAATGTAAACTCACTATTGTACAATTCATACCTGTGGCTGCTAGACAAAGAAAACAAAGAAAAATATCCCTTAATTTTGATCTTCTGTCCTTTTGAGAAATTAGGTCTTCTCCATGGATAAAGAGGTATTTAGCACAGGGTTTCAAATGTTGATATGATCATACAGTATTTTACCCTTAAATTCCAAAAGGTCAAGATGCTTACCATGAACTTTTCCAAAAATTCCTGTTTATTCATTGGTATATTTAAATACTGCACCCTGGGCATTTTTGCACAGCACCTGTCAGCTAAACAAAACCACAGTGTGTAGCAGGATACAGTACTGTTTTTTGTTGCAAGAAAATGCATGGAGTTTAGGTAACAGTGCCAAGTTCGTTCTTTTTCTTTGTGATGTGTGAAGGCTTCTACTGGTGTGACAGCATGAGATGTGGTGTGGCATGTTTCTTGACACTGAGCTAAAGATACGATGCTGGTTAGAGATTTTATTTACAGATAACACAAACATATAAACTTGTCAAGTTCCTGTAGCAAAAGGTTGTCTGCCAATAAAATATCTGCCGTATAAGATTCCAAGAATTTACTGACAATTTAGTGCTTTAAACTTATTAATTTTGTCAAGATGGACTCGATTGTCATTATATTCTATCAACAAGATGTACTTAATTATCATTATATTCTGTCAGCTAGGTACTTTAAATTGCCATTATGTTCTATCAACAAGATGTACTTGATCTTCATTATATTCTTTTTGTTCTAGTCTTTCAACAACATGCAATTGGTTCTCATTATATTGTATTGAGATTCAATTAATATAGTCTATCAAGATGCAAGATACTGTCATTATCTCATTATATCAACAGGTTGCACTTGCTTATCAATATAATCTAGTGGTAAAATGCACATTATTATTATTATTATAATATATTGGCAAGATACACTTGATTATCATAATCTATTGGCAAGATGCAATTGTCATTAAATTCTACCTTCTATGTGCTGCCATGTGGTTGAAACTATAGCCTGGGTCTCTCAGTTGCTCCCTTAGGCAATATTCCAATTCCCCAGGGACAGTCTTTATTCATCTGCTGGGTTATGTGTGAAGAAAGACAATCACTGGACAATTCTCAATGCAGCCCTGAATCCCCATCAGAAGGTATATACGTCCACACTTAAAACTTCATCTTCTGCTACTGCAATTTACCAATTGCTTGTGAACTGTCTGATTGCCACCATTATTTGTCACAAGATGGCATGTAAGGGTACTTCACTTCTTGGTGAGGGGATTCTCCTGAAAATAAGTGTCTGCTGATTAAGGCTTTTCATCTGTTGTGCTGTGGGTCTATACTTCGGTGTACAATTCACATGCATGTGTTTTCTGTATTTCCATGTTTTGCGAGCAATTTCCAAACTGACACCGGTAGGTTTCTTCTTTTGTATTGGCTCAGTATTGTCTTCACCTGGGATTTTTCCTATCAACTAGATCCTTCCTCATATGCTCACCTAGGAATCTGATCCTTTGTCTTTAGACATTTTGGCTGTGCATTAACAGTTCAGGTATACTCGGTCATTGCATCACTGCATGTTCATGATTCATTCAACCAGTGAATCTCCCTTGTTTGTGCTTTGCTTTTTATTTCTTAGCATTTTTTCAGTCGGTGTGCACTTGCCTTTTCTTATATGTAGTTGACAGGGCTAGATTAGATTACATTGAGAGCATGAGTCTTCCAATTGGGTGCCTTTTTCAGACTTTGATTTAGGTTTACCTTGGACCTTCCAATGGACTTGGACTTGTTGATGCTCCTGAGTGTTGCAATCATGAACCAACCAGTCAGGATGGAGTTCAGCTCTGCAATTCTGCTTAATGTGATTGCCTTTGAGATTAATGTGGGTGACTTTCAATGGCACTTCTCAGCTGCGGGTTTGTGCATTAAAGTGCACAGGATACAGTCCTGTCACTCTCAGTCTTCAGCTAGTGTGATTTCTGGAAGCTTCCTTCCCACTTCTTTGATGAAGAAACCAAGTTTTTGGTCTGGTTAACTTATAAATCTAACTCTTGGGACCAAGCGCATATCTAGAGAAAATAGTGCCTATGGCAAGCACTGAAATTGCACCCCTGTACAAACATCTGACACCATCTATCAGAACTTTATCATAAACTCAGCTCAAAAATACCAGTCAAGTTTGTTAATCTTTTAATTAAGAAGTTTCTGGCTTCCGACAATGACCTGTGAGGATTTTCTGAGGATTTTTAGACTTCTTATTCCTGTTGTGGGACGACCTACAGCTTTGAAGCTGTACCTGGCTCTCCTTGAATTCAGTTCTCATTATGCTTCTTGGCTGTGTTGTTAGGTTCCCACTTCCTTTTGTCTAGCAGTTAATCCCTTTTTTTTTTTTTGTGGTAACTGACAATTGTTCTGGAGAGAGACGGGGCTTCCTGGTAGCTCCATGTCATGATTTTCTACATGGCAGGTGCACTGCATTTTGTTATGGCCAATTTTAAAATTCAACTCCACCTAGCTAATATAATTAAGTTCTTTTCCACTCGCAAGCACTTTGGCCTGGGGTTCATATCCTGGCTGTAGAGGATTTACTTGGTGCCAATCCTTAACTCTAGCCTTTGTTCACCCAGCAATGAATGGGTAACTGGTTGTTAAATGATTAGGCAGGTCGTATTCTGGGGAAAATTAGGATTAAAGATGTATACAAATAAAAAATATATATATATCTTGGCAGTCTTTGATTTGAAATATTGCTTTTAGGAGGTTTTTTAGTTTTGAGAAATGTATCTTTATTCTGGGCTGGATTGAGAATTCTCCAATGCCTCCCTTCCACCCTTACATGTCCCAGTGGGAGCAGTTTGAAGAGCTCTCACCGAGTCATACTGACCCAGGCTAAAGTATGCAATGTTCCTGGGAGAGTAGGATATTGCCCAAATTAGCGACTGAATATTCTGCTCAGAAAAGTGTTCTTTTATGTACACATAATGCCATAATTTTTTCATGCACATATTCTAATTCTCAGATTATTATGATTATTATAAACTGAATACACAGTACAAATGTTTTTGTTGATTGACAAAAAACAGATGAATTAAAAATAAAGACAGTGAGGGGGTCTGTATCTTTGTATTCTGTATTGTATTGTAACTAAGAAAATCAGTAACATTGTTCACAATGTAAACCTGAAATTATAAAATATTTAAACAAATTATTAGCTTAATTGTATTTATACAGTATTGTATTATAAATCGTCTAATAATTATTTATTCTTAGGTGCGAGAACAGGTAGAGTACTTCCGTGACTATCTTGGCAATGTTACCGGAGCTATTGTGAATGTAGATGATTTTCGAGTACACGAAAATCATGATGGTACCGTTGACAAGACCAAAACAGATTTGTACCTGCACTTGGTGGATCGTAATGATAACTCTGTTCTAGAAGTGAAGCAAGTTCTGGCGATGATTGACAAAAATGTTGAATACTTGGACAACCTCTTTAAGGTAAGGCTCTTAAATCATAGTGCAAGATTTATTAATAGTCATATGCCAGCATTTATTAAATTTGTCAAATAAAACCCTGCCATAATTTGTTATATCTGGAGCCAACCTCAAAATTTATTGATAAGCAATGCAGTACAGTGGTACCTCCGTTTTCAAATTTAATCCCTTCCCAGAGACAGTTCGAAAACAGAAAATTAAAAAAACAAAAACAATTTCCCATAAGAAATAATGTAAATTTAATTAATCCATTCCACACCTCCAAAAATATTAACTTAAAAATACATTTTATATGTACAGTACTACTACTTATAATTTGTACTACAGTATGTACAAGTATATTTTATCTTTATTGAGGACTCTTGTTGGCATATGGAAGACAGTGAGGAAGGGGGAGGAGGAGAGGTGTTAGTGTTTGGAAGGGGAGTCCCCCATCCATTATAACAGCAGTGATTACATTTCTTGGGTACTCTCTTTCTTACATTTTGCAGACATACCATTAGGACCTGGTTGTGGCTCACGGCTTGCTTGTCCTACTAAGAATCTGTCTATAGACACTTTTTTTTCCTTATGTTTTAACACTTTGGACATGGTTCATACAGTCAGGCAGGTGCAACATTCAGCATAGTGCTGCAGGAAATTATAAAGAATCCCTGCTAGGTTTTAAAATGCTGAGGAAGTCATTTAAAAATAATCATTCCAGCTTGGAATTGTTAAAAAAGTCTTTTTCTGACAAGAAAACCCTTCCAAGCTCTTACTTATAATTACAGATGGCCATCAATCAAGGGCTCTCACTAAGTACAGGCTTGGGCTATCTGATTCAATGTACCATGTATGAGAAGAGAGGAATGGAGAGTTGTCAAATAATATGGTTCTGGAAAGAGCTTTTTAAAGAATGCGAAGCCTTAGTTTTGTGCTTTCATATTTGGTTGTTTCCTTGGAACCTGAAAAACCAATGTAAACACAAAAACTGGGTTTTTACCTGTGCTGCAAAACAATGATTGTAGAAGCCTTTTATGAGAAGTAGACAGTTTGACCAAGAGCTTTGAGAGGCCAGCAGATACTGCCACAACCACACACAAGATGGATGTGCTGAAGTGTCATCCAGACTACTGTACCACAAATTCCTATACCACGATATTTGGTGTCATATGTGAGGAGGCCACCAGTCCTGACTGACATGGTGAGAGTTAGAGACATGTCTTAGCCGAGGTCCCTCCCATCCTTGTACAGCTCGAGAAATATAGTAGTAGTTTACCAGGGAGGTTGTCCTGGTATCAAAGTCAGAACCTGAGAAGGCATTAACAGGGACTGTCACCAGTTGACCTAAAAGCCGAAATGAGCCAACTGGGAAAAAACCAATATCTTGGCTAGTATAAGTGCTTGTGCAAGGACAGTGAGAGCTAACATAAAGGGGTAGCTGAATGTGAGAACTCAGAATGCTGTTGGGTCTGTGGATGTAATTATTAGTTATCAAATTAAAATTATCTGATTGCATTACTTTTGGTGTTTTTACATAGTTACAATTACATTTGTAAATTAAACTCTTAATAACATAAATTTGTTTGCTTATTTTAGACACAATTGCCCAAAATTGATATTCTCTGGGTTCCCCTCCTCAGCTTACATCACAACACTTAGAGGTCACTGATCACAGTTGAAAGGACAAAATAGATTGCAAAGATGCTTGTCTGAGTGACAGCGTCTTGTGTGCCAAGATTGTCACCAGAATTCTGGCATAACTGTAATGTCCTAAATGTGCCAACGACATTAGCTGATGGGGAGCTTTTGATGTGGAACCCAGAAAGGGCTTTTTATTTTTGAATCAAAATATTTGATTCTTTTTCATATTGTCCTTTAAAATCTGTTTTGATTGCACACTACATGCATAGGTGATGAGAACAGCTATTAGGAATTCTTTCTAATCTCCCACTGCCCATTTGTCCCTTCTGAATGAGTAATCAGTACAGGATATTGACCTCCAAGAGATGACTCATTAATTTTATGTATCAACTTGTTCCACTTTCCATTATGTCATTTAATAGTGTTTTATGGAATCTTAATTTACAGTTTAAATTTATGCTCTTTTTGTCTTCTTGACATTGTAAAAACAAAGTTTTACTAGTGTTCCTATTATAAAAAGCCCTTAATTTGGTTAAGCTATCTTCAAAAGGAGGTGCTTTTAGTATGGTGCTAGTTATTTTGCCTTGTATTTAACTCTAATTAGGAAAGTTATTTCTTTGTATAAACATAGTGCTCTGCATGTACAAAGTAGTGTTTTTGTTTTAATTTAATACATTTGTCTTTACTCAAAAAATCTCTTCATTGTTTTTAACATTTGCATATATCTGTCAATGTACAAATTGTCAGTGTCCTGTTGATACTTATAATTTGAACATTATTAATGACTGAACAGTCTTGGCAGATAAATTGTGAATGATATCTCTCACTGTTTATATTGTTTCTCTCCACTTTAATTACATGCTGCTGTTTGCGCCCGCGTGCACACACACCTCACACAACCTATATATTATGTGAGAAATTTTTAAAGAATTCTGATAAGGAAAGAGATCTAGGGGTGGTTCTAGATAAAAAAAACTATCACCTGAGGACCACATAAAGAATATTGTGCGAGGAGCCTATGCCACGCTTTCTAACTTTAGAATTGCTTTTAAATACAAGGATGGCGATATACTAAAGAAATTGTTCACGACTTTTGTTAGGCCAAAGCTAGAATATGCAGTGGTTGTGTGGTGCCCATATCTTAAGAAGCACATCAACAAACTGGAAAAGGTGCAAAGACATGCTACTAAGTGGCTCCCAGAACTGAAGGGCAAGAGCTACGAGGAGAAGTTGGAGGCATTAAATAGGCCAAAACTAGAAGATAGACAAAAAAGAGGTGATATGATCTACATACAAAATAGTAACAGGAATGATAAAATTGATAGGGAAGATTTCCTGAGACCTGGAACTTCAAGAACAAGAGGTCATAAATTTAAACTAAGTAAACACAGATGCCAAAGAAATATAAGAAAATTCACTTTTGCAAACAGAGTGGTAGATAGTTAGAACAGGTTAGGTGAGGTGGTGGTGGAGGCCAAGACCGTCAGTAGTTTCAAAGTGTTATATGACAAAGAGTACTGGGGAGACGGGACACCACGAGCATAGCTCTCATCCTGTAACTACACTTAGATAAAAAATTACACACACAGAGTTGGGACCAGATCTATTTCTGATACAGTATACATAAACAACATTTCTACAGAAGTAGAGTCCTATATGTTGCTTTTTGTGGATGATTCTAAATTAATGAGAAGAGTGACAAATGAGGATTGTAGGATCATCGAAGAGGACTTGAACAGGTTAGAGATGGTCAGAGAAATGGCTACTGGAGTTCAACACAAGTAAATGTAAAGTTATAGAAATGGGATTAGGTGACAGGAGAATAAAGTGACAGTACACAATGAAGGGAAACTACCTACCTATGATGATTCGAGAAAGAGACCTGACAGTGGACGTAACACCTGATCAAACTTCTGAGGCACACACAAATAGGATAACGACACATCGTACTCTACACTCGCAAAAGTTAGAACATCATTCAGAAACCTAAGTAAGGAGGCATTTAGGGCACTTTATACTTTCTATGTGAAACCAGTCTCAGAGTATCCCACCTTAAGGAAACATAAGGAAACTGGAAAAAGTTCAGAAGTTTGCAACAAGGCTCGTCCCAGAATTGCAAGGGGATAGGGATTGAAGGAACTGAACCTGATGACACTAGAAAAAAGAAAGGAATGGGGAGACATGATATAAACATATAAAATATTTAGAGGGATTTACAGTGGAAATAGACAAAATGTTTACACTAAATACTAACAGAACAAGGGGACATGGGTGGAAGCTGGAAACTCAGATGAGAGAAGATAGGAAGTTTTCTTTTAGCATGAGAGTAGTGGGAAAAATGGAAGGAACTTAAGGAGCAGGTTGTGAAAGCCAACTCTATTCATAATTTTAAAACTAGATATGATAGGGACATGGCGAAAGGTGGGATCCAAGAGCCAATGCTCGATCCTGCAGGCACAAATAAATGAGTACACAAAAAGGTGCAAAGGCATGCTACAAAATGGCTTCTGGATCTGAAAAACAAGAGTTATGAGGAGAGACTAGAAGCGTTAAACATGCCAAAAGACAGAAGAAAAAGAGGTGATATGATCACCACTTACAAAATACTAAAAGGAATCAACCAAATTGACTAAGAGGAATTCCTGAAACCAGCAAATTCAAGAACAAGAGGACACAGTTTCAAGCAAAGAAATCAAAGGTGTCAAATAAATATTAGAAAGTTTTTTTTTTTTTTTGCAAACAGTGATAGATGGTTGGAATAAGTTAAATAAGGTGGTAGTGGAGGCCAAAACTGTCAGTAGTTTTTAAGCGTTATACGACAAAGAGTACAGTACTTGGAAGACAAGACACCATGACTGTAGCTCTCATCCTGTAACTACACTTAGGTAATTACACACACACATATCTCTTGAGGTCCTTTATCACTTTAACCACAATAAACAAATACAATTAACATGGCAAAATCCATTTGTTGTACTTTTCCATTAATATTCATGTTATTTTTTATTTGATTAAATATTCATTTGATTCATTTCTCAACTTAAAGCTTGCCCTTGAGGTTCTTTTGCTAAACCATGGTAAACATCCTACCAGCACTTGGTTTATTCAAGAATTGCATACAAGTCCCAATACTGCATTTTACTTTAGGTTTTTTTGTTTCTTGTATTTGCCTTTTTCCAATTACATTTTCTTCTTATAAATAATTGTTTATACAATTCTTTCTCTCTTCTATATATTAATGCAGTACTAGCAAGTAGCTGTAGCTTCACCTTTTACTTTTTAAAGCTTTAAAGGGTAAGGTTTTCTTGGCCTAATATTAGAGGGGATTAGTTGTATTGGTAGATACAATTGCTAGAGGCTTTGGTGGCTGTTAACGCAAGCCAAATCTTTACTAACATCTTCGCTGGTGTTGCCTAGGAATTAAATGTGTTGGACACTCAGCGTGCAGAGTTGATTACTGCTGGAACAGCGGAGGAAGACCTTCTGTTTCTGTGGCTGGTTGGTGTGATCGTATTCCTGACTCTCCTGCTTGTCCTCACCGTGGCATTATGCTTGTCACAGAGAGCACGCTACTCCAGGCAGCTCAAAGCTGCCACTGCCACTGCATTTGGTGAACGTAAGTAGAAAATTACTCATGTTAATACATGCATGTACATGTTCACATATATACACATACACAAAGGTGGTGGTGGAGGCCAAAACCGTTAGTAGTTTCAAAACGTTATATGACAGAGTGCTGGGAAAACGGAACACCACGAGCGTAGCTCTCATCCAGTATCTTAACTATGTAATTACACATGCACTCACTCACTGTCTCTCACTCTGTCTCTCTCTCACTGTCTCTCTCTCGCTCTGTCTCTCTCTCTCGCTCTCTGTCTCTCTCTCTCTCGCTCTCTGTCTCTCTCTCTCGCTCTCTGTCTCTCTCGCTCTGTCTCTCTCTCTCGCTCTGTCTTTCTCTCTCGCTCTGTCTCTCTCTCTCTCTGTCTCTCTCTCTCTCTCTCTCGCTCTCTTGGCGCAAAAGCTGCACCAAGCCCCTTTTCGCTTGGGGCTTGGCACAGCTTTTGTTCTGCATGCTAGAATGGTGGGAGGTTACATTAGTGTTGCAGATATTCTTGGGGGCTCGCTTGAGTTTCTCGTTGAGTGCCTCTTTGCTTCTGTGCTTCCTTGTAATTACCTAAGTGTAATTACCTAAGTGTAGTTACAGGATGAGAGCTACGCTCGTGGTGTCCCGTCTTCCCAGCACTCTTTGTCATATAACGCTTTGAAACTACTGACGGTCTTGGCCTCCACCACCTTCTCACTTAACTTGTTCCAACCGTCTACCACTCTATTTGCGAAGGTGAATTTTCTTATATTTCTTCGGCATCTGTGTTTAGCTAGTTTAAATCTATGACCTCTTGTTCTTAAAGTTCCAGGTCTCAGGAAGTCTTCCCTGTCGATTTTGTCAATTCCTGTTACTATTTTGTATGTAGTGATCATATCACCTCTTTTTCTTCTGTCTTCTAGTTTTGGCATATTTAATGCTTCTAACCTCTCCTCGTAGCTCTTGCCCTTCAGTTCTGGGAGCCACTTAGTAGCATGTCTTTGCACCTTTTCCAGTTTGTTGATGTGCTTCTTAAGATATGGGCACCACACAACAGCTGCATATTCTAGCTTTGGCCTAACAAAAGTCATGAACAATTTCTTTAGTATATCGCCATCCATGTATTTAAATGCAATTCTGAAGTTAGAAAGCATAGCATAGGCTCCTTGCACAATATTCTTTATGTGGTCCTCAGGTGATAGTTTTCTATCTAGAACCACTCCTAGATCTCTTTCTTTATCAGAATTCTTTAAAGATTTCTCACATAATATATAGGTTGTGTGGGGTCTATGTTCTCCTATTCCACATTCCATAACATGACATTTATTAACATTAAATTCCATTTGCCAAGTGGTGCTCCATATACTTATTTTGTCCAGGTCTTTTTGAAGGGCATGACAGTCATCTAAATTTCTTATCCTTCCTATTATCTTAGCATCATCAGCAAACATGTTCATATAATTCTGTATACCAACTGGTAGATCATTTATGTACACAATAAACATCACTGGTGCAAGAACTGAACCCTGTGGTACTCCACTTGTGACATTTCTCCATTCTGATACATTGCCTCTGATTACTGCCCTCATTTTTCTATCAGTCAGAAAATTTTTCATCCATGATAGAAGCTTACCTGTCACCCCTCCAATATTTTCCAGTTTCCAGAACAACCTCTTATGTGGAACTCTGTCGAAAGCCTTTTTTAGGTCCAGATAGATGCAGTCAACCCAACCATCTCTTTCCTGTAATATCTCTGTGGCTCGATCATAGAAACTGAGTAAATTCGATACACAGGATCTTCCAGATCGAAAACCATACTGTCTGTCTGATATTATATCATTTCTCTCTAGGTGTTCTACCCATTTAGTTTTGATTAGTTTTTCCAATACTTTCACTATTACACTTGTTAATGATACAGGTCTATAATTGAGGGGGTCTTCCCTGCTGCCACTTTTGTAGATTGGAACTATGTTAGCCTGTTTCCACCCGTCTGCTACGATTCCTGTACACAGGGATGCCTGAAAGATCAGGTGAAGTGGAATGCTGAGCTCAGATGCACATTCTCTCAGAACCCATGGTGAAACGCCATCTGGGCCAGCTGCTTTGTTCTTACCGAGCTCCTTGAGCATTTTTTCCACTTCGTCTCTAGACACCTCTATGTGTTCTATGTTGTTCTCTGGAATTCTTATTGTATCTGGTTCCCTAAAGATTTCATTTTGTACAAACACACTTTGGAACTTTTCGTTTAGTGTTTCACACATTTCCTTTTCATCTTCCGTGAATCTATTTCCCATTTTCAACCTCTGAATATTATCCTTTACCTGCAATTTGTTATTTATGAATTTATAGAATAGACCTGGTTCTGTTTTACATTTGTCCGCAATCCCTTTTTCAAAATTTCTTTCTGCCTCTCTCCTCACTGCCGTGTAGTTGTTTCTCGCATCTTTGTATCGCTGGTATGTTTGGGGGTTCGGCCTCTTCCTGTATTGATTCCATTTTTGTGTCTTTCGGTCTCTAGCCCTCTCGCAATTTCTATTGAACCAATCCTGTTTCCTAGTTCTGCATCTCTGTTTTGGTATAAATTTTTTTGTGCCTTTATCATATATTTCACAAAACTTGCCATACATCTCATTCACTTCCTTGCCTAGCATCAAGTCTGTCCAATTATACTCACTAAAAAAATTTCTAAGGTCACCATAATGTCCTCTCCTGAAGTCTGGTTTTTCAACTTGTGACGTTGGTCTGGTGCATTTGCATGCTCAGGTCCACTCTTTCGGCTGTCTTGGTGGCCTACGACCTTCGGACTCGTAGGAATCGATTCTTTGGGCTTCTGGAGCTGTCTTCGTATTGGTTTTCAGAAGATTTGGGGTCGCTGGGTGGGAAGCCCTTGGCTGGGGTCTTTGTCTCGGCTGCTTCAGCATCATCTGCCTTCCTGTAGCTGTTTGCGCCGATCCTCAGGGAGGCAGTTTCCATGTTTTCACCTCCCATCTCATGTGTCAGCAGGCTGTGCTGGCTCGCTCTTTGGATTCTGCTTGGGCCCTGGTTCTTCAGTCAGCTTTACATTTTGTCTCTTTGTCCCTACGGACAATGTCTCTCAGTTTTTGTCGGCGGCCTCTGCTTGTTACTGTCTCACTTCAGATTTTTGTGTCCAGGGGGGGTCGTTCCCACCCCTCCTGAAGGTGTCGGGGCCAGAGTTTGGGCTTCTTTGGGTCGGGGTAGACCTGTGGTTCCAGCAGCCGAGTTGGAAGTGTTCCTGGTGCTGTCTTCTTCGTCTGGTCAGCGTGGTGCTCACTTTGCTCGGAAGCCTGGCTCTCGGAGTTCGCATCAGCCTTTTTGCGAGTTTTAACAGGACAATGTGGGGGAGGCTGGCTTTTTTTACCCTGGGTGTGGTTGTTCCAAGGTAACATCTGAACTAGTTGATCCAGGGTTTACCTCTGAACCGGTTGCCTCCTTGCCCTTCCTTTTGTATGACCACATTGTCCCACATCCGGCGTCCTTCAGCTGGGCATATGGATGATTTCCCTTGACCTTAGGGATGTGTTTGGCATGTCCCTAGTCATTGTTGGTTCAGGGATTGGTATGGTTTTTTGGTGGGGCAACAAGCTTACCACTTCAGTTGTCCTCCTTTTGGGCTGAATCTGGTGCCTCATGTTTTTACATGCTTGATTTGGGTCATGGTGGCCCTTCTTCATCTGCTAGGTCTTCGAGTACATCGATGACTGGTTGGTGTGGGCTCCCCGCCGGTCTGCTTGTCTGCTAGCCAGGGATCTGGTTAGCTTTTTCCAGCTTGCTGGGTTCAAGTTCCTGGTGACCTGGTGGAAGTCCCAGTTGGTTTCGTCTCGGGTTCAGACTTGGCTGAACCTTTTGTGGGATTCTCGGACTGCATTTCTTTTCTCCCTCCCGCGGCCTTGCTCCGGCTGCAGTCTCACTGTTGGCTGTTGTTGAGGGGGGGATCCAGGTTTACCCAGTGGCCTTGTGCCGGTTGCTGCATCACCGGCTTCCTCTTGAAGTTCAGGTTTCGGTGCCATGGTTCCTTCCTCCTCCCTTACTCGATGTTCCTCGACACCTCATCTGTCGGTTGAAGCTTTGTGACAGCAATCACCAGTCTGGCCAGGGCGCTGGTGGCCTTCCATGCATCAAGCTCTCAGCATGGTGTGGGAGTTTGCGGTGATGTGACAAGTGCTGTGGAGGATTCGGATTCCTCTGGGCTCAGTGATCCGACTCCATTCAGACTGCTTCCCGGTGGTTCCTTGTCTCAACCAGGGAGGGGGGGGCTATTTCATCCGTGGCTCTTTGGAGCTGGTCACTTCTGGTAGCTCTTCTGCTGCGTTCTCGGGGTTTAGCTCTCGGTGCTGTTCACATTCAGGGCGTGTCCAGTGTTCTGGCAGATGATCTGTCTCACTTCATTCCTTTTTCCTTGGAGTGGATGGTCGCCGCCGATTCCTTCATGGTTTTGCTGGATATACGAGCTCCCAGAGGTGGATCTCTTCGCTTCAGCGTCTTCCTGAATATATTGCACCGTTCCTCGACTGTCAGGTCATTGTCAGACAGAAAACAAGTGTTGAAATGAAACACCAACTTCTAGGTGAGCCCTGGAGGCTCCCTGACACCCTCCCTCCCTCCCTCCAGTTGGCAGCTTTCATCATTCAGAGAAATGGCTGGCAGGTGACCTGGCTTACCCAGGCCAGCTCCCCCTTTCCCCATAAGGATGGGGTGGCACTAATGAGCGGGGGTTGGTTAGATGGATTTTTGTTTTCTTTTTGGAGGAGTTCTTTTGCTCTTTAGAGGACGTAGGTCGTAATTTTCAATCAGAGTTAGTCTGTTTTGATTTGCCTACCTTTCTGGGTGCCTTTCCTGGTTGATGGCAAGATGGCATACTTTAAATGTAAAGTGTTTATGGGCCATTGCTCCTTGTGCCACTCTGAGAAGGGGGGGGGGGCAGGTTCTGTCTCATGGTCCCCAGTAATAATAATAATAATAATATTTTATTTAGGAAAAATACATACATAGATGCAGAGTTACAAACATTCTGA